CACTCAATGGTAGATTTTCAGAAAGGCGAAAGGCAAGCCGACCCAGCCATTCGATATTCACAAGTTAACCATGCATCATTCGCAGACAAATGAACATGGACTATGCCCTTTGTGAGGCTGCCCAGCACAACATGGAAGGCATCACCAGGGCGGTCACCTTCTATGATATCAACTGTCAATGCAACAAGCACTTTCGGGTTCGGGTGGATCGAAGCCGATTTCTCGAAATGATTCCGGAATTGACCATCATTCCTGGAATCAGGTTGTGGCACATCCACGGACATCAGGACAGCTGCTATGTCCAATATGCGTCGAATTTTATCAAAGGCATCGGTCGGATTGATGGAGAGATCATGGAGACCCTATGGTCACGTCTCAACCTGATTTCCCCTGCTGCTCGGGGAATGTCATCCCCGCATCGAAAGGAATGTCTCGATTATCAGATGAATGATTCCAATTTCTGCAAGATGATCCGCATGAAAAGGACCCTTTGCCGAAAATACAAGCAGGCGAAGAATGGCATTGCCGAAAGTGAAAAGGCTTTCGACATACTCAATGAAGCAGCACCCGGCGATTCAAAGACAGAGTGGCTAGCCAGCGAGAGGATCGCTCAGTCCAGCAGAATAAATAATCCTGCGGCTATGGATGTATATGAGATTAATATCAAGAAGGGTTAGTTGACTTTGTCTCCATCAAAGTCTGAATTAATTTTGCATTCAGCACCAAGCAAAAAGGAGATCGAGCTTAGGCTACTAGAGGAGGGTAATGCCCGAAATGCAGCACCTGCTCGCAGGTCTGTGGCGACATGGATATCAATGGGGTTGGCGATTGAAGAGGCTCAAATCGCATTGCTCATTGAGGTCCGAAGAATTGGTAGAAGAACTACCGAGACACAGAAGTTAGACATCGCCTGGCAACGCAATCGTCTCCAAGGCCAGATAGATGGATTCACTCGGTCTGCTATTACGCATCTCGGAGAGGGATTTGATGCAGATGATGATCCTGAAGACTTGTACTTGGACATTCTTGATGATCTTGATGATGACTTGGCAGACTTCACCGAGACATCTGACACATGGGCAAACTCCCCTGAGCTCACTGTAATCCCATTGCCATCAAACCTCGGGGTAGATCGATGCAGACGCTGTATGGCAGACGATCTCATTCTGCTGGAGATGTCTCTTCGTGAAGGGCAGGCCAATGACTCCCTTCACAACCTCCGAATTCACTTGTGCAACAAGGCGATTCTGTTTCGAACAACAGTTAGGCAAGCCAAATCCCAGGCCCTGAAAACTCGAGCTTGGTCCCAGGTGACGTCGGTGCAGCAGGCAGTGTCCCTCCATGCCAGTATATATACGAAGACGAGGAAGCAAATGATGCAACTGGAGCCAGGGCAAGACCAGGTTCAGACATACAAACCCCTGCTTCGAGAGCAACTCAGAATCAGCACTGCCGTCGGCGATCCAAAAGCCCGAGGTCAGCGAAACGAGTCCCTCGCTTGGTTCTGGTCAGTCGAAGTCGACCTTGGGGGTCCCGATCACTCGTGGAATGAGGAATGTGAGTTCGGGCATGCTTGATGTGTCCCGCGCTCAGCTGACGGAGTCATCCGAAGTTTACCGAGTTCATTGGCTCTGGGCAAAGGCACTACGGGATTGATGGAGGGAAGAAATGATGTTGGTCCAATTGGAGATGGATTGGACATGTAACTTTTTCTTGTGGAAAGCAACCCAATGGGGTGACAGGATGCACGAATCATTGGTGAAACACCTTCCGGGTCATGCATGCTACTCGGGAAGGCAATCCCAAATGTATTCATTGCTGGCACAGGATGCCCAGGCAGCATTTCAAGACCTGAAGACCGGGTTTATAGATGCTCGAGATGAATGAAATTTTTTTGCCAACGATATGAAACAGCTACTTTGACCCAAACATTTTAGTCCCGGGAATTGGCCGGGTCGACCCATGTCGGAGTTTGAAAATTTTTATCAATCAACCAGTGGCTCATATCTTGACCTCCGAACCAACTGCCATTGTGATTGTCATTTCCAGCTTCATAATCCTGCATTAACCATGTCTGTATTGCATACTCCCCCAACATCCCCTTCTAATTCTCAGACTTCCGGCAATGGGTTCCGACCCCTGACACTCACTCAGGCAGATATTGCAGCTACAATGTCAATGGCTGCATCTCGCATCCGAGTGTCCATGTCATATACCATATATCCGGTTACAGATCCGATGATCTGGATCTCAGATCCGATCCAGATCCGATGAACATATCCGTCGTCCGGTCCACAGATCCGCTTTGATTCTTATTTCATTTCCTGTTCATATAACTCTAACTATCGTTCATCTCCTTTCGGTATTCCTGTACACCGGTATACCGGTTATCCTTTACTTCCGCTTTGCTTACTGATCCGCTACACTTACGAATCCGCTTTTACTTGTACTTCATTCCCGGTTCATGATTCGTGATCCATCCAACTTACCAATACGCTCCACTTAGACTTTGCTTATTGATCATTCCGTTAGCTATCCGTAGTATATAAACCTTTGTATATGCGCTGTAGTAGATCAGTTCGAATATCATCTTAGATTGCACTCATTCCGTCCGGACTCTGAGTCCCTCCGTTATCCATCCGGACTTGAGTACGCTACTCTTGTCAACTCCGAGACTTAGGATAGATTCCTATAGTCTACATATCCGCCTCTGTCTTCGGACAGTCCTCACCCGTTAGTTTCTAGTCCGGATCCGATCCGGATTGGCCGTTACTCTATATACGCGATACTTTAGCTCTCTGAAATAAGGGGCAAGACTCGGGAAAGGGGCACAGCGCACGAGCTGAGGCCGAAGCCCTTCGGATCCGATACTACTTGAGTACGGTCTTAACAGTCCATCTCTCAATATCAGATGGAGGCTGCCCACACCCAGGAGCCATCTGCTACTCGGATCACGCACTTTAAAGCCGGGCTGCAATGGGAGATAGCTGTAAGAGGCTGATGACTGTGGTGGTCAATGCTGACATTTCCAACAGACTTTTGTGACTCCCATCCTGCAGTACTCAGCTGCAAGGAACATCATTTCGGTTGTTCCGAGCCCGGTTGCTCATATTCTTCAGTTGATTCCCGAGCTCACCTGGAACATGGTTCTGGACCACATCTTTTCATCCCACCTATGCCAGTTTCAAGATGTTGCAGATCTGGGGGATCCCTCCCGCATTGTATCCACCTATGGTACTCCATGGTGGACCGGATCAACTGCCATCCCGAATGAATTATGGCCATGGGATCAGGTATTCGCTAATTGTGTCTGTCACTACCAGCATTGGCTAGTAAGACTTTTACAGAATTTCCTTGAGTGATGACTAATCCTTTCTAGTCTGGCGTTGAGGACGAACATCTTGTTGTTCCCGAGCAGGTGGATGAAAGCTCGCTTGCAACGCTGAAGGCACTGAGGTGGATGAGGGAACGCCTCCTGACAGTGATTGAGGATCAACAAGCTGGCATCCGTGAAAAGATGGCAGAGATTCAGATGTACACCGCCGTCCTAACCAAATTGAACCCAAGGGGACCAGAGTAGTTCTAGTCCTTCAGTTCAGAATGTTGAAGTCTAAATTCTGTACATGATGAAATAAGTACTGAAAATTACATACTGACTTTTGAATATCTGACCTATTGCTATATGCTGAGTCCTGCATACCAAATATCGAGCATCGAGATCCAGATATCTTGAGTTCCAAATATTGAGTCCCAAACATAGAGTCCCGGATATCCAGTCCCGAAGCCCAAGATTCGAGACGAGACTTGAAACTCGAACATTGCTATGAGTTGCGAGTTTTGAGTCCCCACCGAGTCCTGACAATCGAGTCTTACAGCCCGACTATCGAGTCCCAACCATCGAGTCCCAACCATCGAGTCCCGACAATCGAGTCTTGAAACCCGAGTCCTGACAATCGACTCCCGAAGCCCGAGATTTGAGTGCCGACCATCGAGTATCGAGTCCCCAATATCGAGACCCAAAACCCAAGCAGCCCGAAGCCCGAGATTCGACACGAAACAAATCAAAACTCAAAACAACACGACACTTTCTTGAATCTTCGAGTACCGAAACCCGAGTACCGGGTACCGAGTCTTGAAACCCAAATCCACACTATCAAGTCCCGACTACCGAGTCTTGAAACCCAAGTCCCAACAATCGACTCCCGAAGCCCGAGATGTGAGTGCCGACCATCAAGTATCGAGTCCCTATTATCGAGACCTGAAACGCGAAGCCCGAAGCCCGAGATTCGACACTCAAAACAAATCGAAACAAAACTCAAAACATGACACTCATCAATTTTGGGAGTTGTTTTCTTGAATCACCGAGTACCAGGTACCATGTACCGAACCCCAAAACCCGGTACTCGGTAGTTAGTGAAATCGAATATCGAGTCCCGACTATCAAGTACTGGGTACCGTGTACCGAAACCTGAAACCTGGTACTCGGTAGTCGGTGAAATGTGTACAACATCACTATGGAATATACTTGAATATCAAGTCCCGACTATCAAGACCCGAAACCCGAATGTTGAGTATGGAGTGCCTGACATCTAGTATCATGTATTTGAAGGTGGGTACTAACACGGGTAACTACCTTTCTACTTCTTCCAATCCAACCTTGCCCATCCACACGACGGAATCCCAGCATAAACATGAACAGCATCCCTCATATACCATGCCCAGGCAATCCGATCCCCTTCCACTGCATGAACCGCGTGTCTGACAATCCTTCCCGAAAATGCAATCATGCACCCCGGATCGTACCTTAACTCCAGCTGCAGGCTTGGCATACTCATCCGAGCATTAGAATAATTCCCCACGCTAGTGAGAATATCGAAGCATTCGGAAATTGATGAGGGGTCTCGATGATTTGGGGTTTCCCGATTGCATATGACGGTGAGGCTGTTAAACACCGTTGCCCAGTACTGGAGAGTCTCTGACATCTTCGGCAGTTCCTTGCTTCATGCCTTTTCTCCGAGGCTCGCAAAGGCTTGCAACCCTGCCCAGTACTGCTCAGGATGCATCACCCTGAGTGCCGCTGTGGCAATGGCTGCTGGCCTCGCAAAGGCTTTGAGGATGTTCTCGGAGGATGGTCCCTTCAATGATGCAGATACCTCCGGATCGGACTGATTCTATGGGATTGGTGAGTTTAACTACCGAGATCGCCATCTCATCAGATCCTACCTCGTGCCCCTGCTGAAACCATGCCGGAGATAAATTAACGCATCCGAGAGTTAGGACATCATTTTCTGAGCTTGGTGTGAACCACTGTTGATTAGTCCGCCAAATCCCATCGAGCTTTATGCTTTGTTCGAGCATGGGAGCTAGCAAATCTGAGGCCGCCCAAATTTCATTCTGTACGTACCATTTGATGTTCAATATCCATCCAGTCACAATATATATAACACACCTGGGTGGCATTGGTCAAGGCGTCTGGGAGGTACCATGCGATGATGGCACCGGATGCATCAAGAATTGTCGCGGGTATGTCGATCAACTTTGTGCCCTCATGGCCAGGAGGACACCTCTCGAGCAACTTTTCCTCTCTCTCTTCATTACGCCCCGTGTCCTTTGGGGAGATCAATTTGCTATATCTTGCAATATCAATCGGCATCTGAACTGTGATGAAGCAATTTGACTGATAAAACGAATTTTCCGAATCTGCAGGAAGACTCACTGGGATTTTTATATGCCTTTATGAGCCGATCAACCAATTGATCACAAGCCATCACCAGATCAGTGTCTAGGTTTGGAGAAGGTATAACTGGGTCTCCTCCTGTCTTCTCTGCATTGAATTTCTGTTCCGTATAATCACATGCCACATGAGTGACAGTCAGGGCCCAAGTGCGCAAGAGGGTTATTTCATCATCGGAAGTGGAAGAAACATCCATGATTGAATTGATCTTGTGAGATCAGAAGCTGAATCCTGAATGTCCGCACTTTGGTGTTAAAGGGGGTGGAGATTGAGAGGATCAGATAAGGGAGCCTTGGATGATCTGAGCTTTCAAAGATCTATTATCTCTTATCATCTATTGCTCAATGAAATACCACATGATTGGAAGTCTGTTGGATGTCAGATACTCGTTTGTCGAGACCCGGGCCTCGGATCTTGGTACACTTCACTCGATTTTGATACCCAGGACACCATAGTTGGAACTTGTCTCGAATCTCAGGTCTCAGGTCTCGGGCGTCGGGTCTCGGGTCTCCATGGTCGGGACTTGATATACGGGACTCGTTGGTTGGGACTCGATACTCGATTGTCGGGATTCAATGGTCAGGCGTCGGGTTTCATGACTTGGTAGTCGGGACTCGATAGTTGGGACTTGATGGTCGATTTTCGGGATTCGATAGTTGGGGCTCAGATATTGGTACACTTCACTCAATTTTTGGTGGTCGGAACTTGGCATTTGGCATTTGGTAGGCTTCGATGATGTTGGCTTTCAAAGATCTATTATCATCCATTGCTCAATGAAATACCAGATGATCAGAAGTGTGCTGGACATCACATATTCATTTGTCGAGACCCGGGTCTTGGAACTCGGTACACTTCGCTCGAGTTTCCACTTCACCCCTTTGCAAAGCTCCGTGCCATACCACATCATTAGATGACTTTGAATAATCACCTCCTTTGATTTGGATGATATACAACTAGCTGAGCTCCATCATGTCTACAATTATCATTCTCCTGGGCCCACCCGTCTATCTTATATACCCCCACGTCGGCCTACCCATCTATGCAATATATGTCTCCCGTCGGCCCACCTGTATATAATACATCTTTTACCGCTCCCTCGGCCCACCCGTCTACAAAATAATATTAATTCGTCGGCCCACCCGTCTAATATGATATATATCTGGGCCCACCTGGCTATGTGATAACAAGCACCCTTGATATACCCGGCTATTTGATACATATCTACCTTGGTACACCCATCTACATAATATCCAACTACCTCGGCCAATCCGTCTATTGAAAATTCATGTCCATCGGCCCACCCATCTACTTTACATATTCCCCACCTGGGCCCACCCGTCTCCATCGGGAATAATAACACTCCCGGCCCATCCGTCACAGTCGAGGATATATCTACCCTCGGCCCATGGTCCGCTGGCCCGTATCATACGGGATATTATGCACGTCCGTCCACTCGTATAATACGGAGATATGTTACTGCAATATGTGATGCATCATGGTTGAGTATCACGCAGTGGTCAGCTATAAACGCACGTACCGCAGTTGAAGGCTTCTACATTGCTGTTCGAGGCGATTTAGAACATTACCACGAGGCCAAAATATTTCTCACCCCCAAGGCCAAGTCCTTTATCAAAGACATATTGCATTTCGAGCCCAAGCATCTTGCACTCAAATTTGAGTCATGGGTAGTCGGAGATTTCGGTATGCGCAGCTTGATCCGTCATTTCTACATTTCTGAGTGGAGGAACGGACAACACACTTTCAGAATCATCAGCATGTAATATATCATACAGACAACATCTTGTGAAAGCACAAGTTAGCATCGAAGAGGGTGCTAATGAACTACGACAACTATGAGAAGAAGATTGTAGAGGTTTATGCAGTCGCAATTGATGGATGGACTTACCAGAAGGACATTGGCAACCCTGGGAAAGTCGGCCATCGAGAGTGCCTAGTCACCCTGCTCGATGCATTGGTCGCCAACAAATGCCGCTGGGTTCTGTTGACCGACAAGGAGTTGTCAGAGTGCATTAGCAACAACCGTGAGCGTCAAGCAAACGGTGAACAGGTCTACAAACCATGCAAAGCCAAACAACGACATAATATCAACAGTGGCAAAAGTGCCGAAATGGTCTGTGACACAGACACAGAAGTTGAAGGGCAGGAAAACGAGCAGGACAACCAGCAGGATAATGAGCGGGACAACCAGCAGGACAACCAGCAGGACAATGCAGGTACTTAACATGAATCACAGTAGTGTTGAAGTGGTGCTGTCAATCACTGATGTGCCAGTGACTGCAAAGCTGGCAGCTGGCAGTATGAGCGAGAGCCTCGGGAGCGCGTAGTTATCATTTGATGATAGTATAAACATAAGATACACTGTATATAGCGTTAAAATGGAGGGCATTGCTTACCAGTGACAGCAGGAGGGTCTATACTGCAATACACAGGTCATTGACAGAGATAACGATAAGGGACGGTCCTACAATGAGGGAAACAACGTAGATAGTTGAGAGATATTGATCCCTGAACAAATGCACAAGGTGCGATAAGAGTCCGGTGAGAGATGATGGCGGAAGAGGGAAAATATCATGCTCACCGTTGATGTCGAGGAGGGCAGCAAAGACAGGTCCTACAGCATATAGAACAACATACATAGGTTTTGGATGTATATCCCTGTCTATTGCACAAGATGCAACAAAGATCTGGTAAAAAACAATGGCAGGAGAAGTAAAACGTGGAACTTACTGTTGATGTCGAAGAGCACAGCGAAGACTTGTCTTATGGCGGGTAGAACAACATTGATAGGTCAGGAACATCAAAGCCTATCTAGTGCACAAGGTGCGCTCAAAATCGATCGATTTTTGATGATGGGGGAGGCGAAACAATGTGCTCATCATGGTAAACGATGAGCAAACAGTGAGAGAACACTTAGTGATGGCGGGGTGCGAATATCAACAGCATCAGAACCCTAATTTGGTCATCAGTATCGGTTGCCGAGGCGGTGACGACAGCATCGGACATATCGGGATATTCTTCTATTTTGGGCGCACATTCAGCTCGCCCAAGTCACTGCTGATGTGCTGGGAATACTGCTGGTAGGGTGGTTTACAGCTATTCCTTACGAATTTGTAACAGAAATAGGTGCGCGGTACTATTACTAATTACTAATATGGGTGGTGCTACCCAGGTGATTTGCGGCCTCTGTGGGACTGGGCAATGGACCTATTAGCCAATCCCTTGTTGGCTCTGCACTTTGTCTGGGATGCTCAGCGGCTTTATAAGCACAACGGGACTCACTTTGAGCGCTTCTTTCAAGAGCCATGGATGGGAGACCGCTGGTGGAATCTTCAAGTGTGCCCAATCTTTTTGTATACTACATGACTGACTACTAAATTTCAATTCATTTAGTCCTTATTACCTGAGAATGGAGCGCCCTTCGTGTTCATATTATATGCTGACAAAACTCATCTTTCATTGGCTGGTACTGTCAAAGCATACCCAGTAATTGCCCGATGCGGGAATCTACCAGTCAATATTAGGAATGTCGATGGTCCCGGAGGAGGGCGTCTGGTAGGTTGCTTACTGATTGTAAGTCCTCGCAACATTGTGTGAATGGCGCTCAATTGATGGTCTTTGCCCCTTGTTACAGGTTCCCAAGGATTTAGATGAGGATGGCAAACTTTCATACACAAATTTGAAGTGTGTTGTATGGCACGAATCATTTTCAATCCTGCTCACAACTATCATGGTTTTATCTGCCACTGGGTTTGCACATGAGTGCTACGATGGAACTCAACGCTGGCTATTCCCATTAATTCTGATCCTATCAGCTGATTATGAAGAGCAGTGAGTGGTCCATGTTTATATATCATTAACACATTGTTTCTAACACAAATCATTTATATTTAGGTGTGTGATGGTGCTAATACGGGGCCTTAATTCTGCCTGCCCTTTCCCCGAGAGAAGAACTCACCGACCATTCAACGACTTATCCTAAGTGCACCGTTAAAGATGCACAAGATCGTGTCGAGTTATGGGCCAGAGATTGCATTGCGGGCGAGGCAGAACTGAAGAAACAGAGCTTGAGGCCTATCAAGGTGCGTGATGGATGTGTCTTTCTCACTTACATGATCTTACAGTCATCAGAATGCATTATGGAAAGTCAAGCTGTCCAACCCACACAATGCACTCTTGCAAGATCCACTACATGTCTATCATAAGGGGAAGTTTGGTGATCACTTGTTTGATGAGTTCAAGAAACACATCAAGGCACTTGGATGCGCCGCTGAGAAGAAGGTTGATGAACAGTAAGTCCCTTCCCAGTTGTTATTCTATCAGTCTCTCATATGTTGTTAATTTTAAAGGTTTGATGCATTTCCGCGATGGCGAAACCTGAACCATTTCAACCGCGTTACCAACATATATTTTACTGATGGTAACAAGTTCCAGGACATATCTAGGGTATGTTCTAGTGCGCTGTATTTAAAACTGCACATTTCTCATGGTTTTGATAGCAAATTGTGTATGCAGTACAGAACGTGCTCACATGCGTGGAAGATGAAGCTGGCTATGCACTCTTAAAGTGCATAGTGAGCTATCTTCACATTGATATGTATGTATCACTTGATGTTCATACTGAAAGTACTCTTGCAGCTGGAGAGGCGGAGATCCTCATGTTTCAGAAACTGTTAGATGTAAGTCCTGTCTGAATTGTTTGCGCCCGTCACCGTGACTCAACACTACTATCACACAGGAATATATTGAGGCCCTTGGCGATGATGCAACTAAGAATTGGAATTTCCCAAAGGCTCATGCCTTGAAGCATGTATTCACTGACATTAGGGAGAAAGGAGCAGCTCGAAACTTCAGCACCAGACTGAATGAGAAGCAACATGGACCGATCAAACGTGCATACAAATTGCAAACAAACGGGAAGGATATTGCTAACCAGGTATCACTTTATTAGATCGTGCTTTCTGTAATTTAACTCATTGATCATCCTTTGCATACTAGATACTTAGACTAGATCATATGACCCTCATCTCTGGGCTCATCCGCAGCCATGTTGACTACCTTGACGAAGAACGACGTAAGGCCATGCTCTCAGAGAGAGAACTTGAGGAGGAAGACCTAGATGATCAACCTTTTGGCGGATATATTCACCTTGGTGCCCCACAACACTCCCTGACCCTTTCGCAGCTCGAAGAAGAAAATGCATCCAAGCCTGCCTCTGCACAGTTCCGCAAGAAACTTTCATTATTCCTCAACAACTTTCTGCCTGCCTACAACATACCACTACCTGATGGCAAAACATGGTTGATACTCTCAGCACAAGATACAGTCAGTAATAGTTGTTTCACTGATGTTCCTCTTCTTAAAGATCTTTATTGCAGGTCCAGGAGCATCGGTTCCTCAAGGTCAACTACGAGTCCGCTGTGGATTGGAAGCTCACTACAGATTATTTGCGGTGTAACCAAAGCTTTCATGGCCATGAGCGATGCGACTGTGCCCTGATTCACACCAATGACAAAGACGTCAATGACAAGAACATTTTTGTTCACATCTTGCTTATGTTCAAGCACATGATTGGCAGCAAGGTTTTCGATCTCGCTTTAGTTCTACCTATGGATCTGTGAATGGGTCCACAATGTGCTATTGACTGAGATTTGCGACTGACTCATCTTCATGCGCGACCCATGGCTTCATCGGAATTCATCATGCTTCAATCTATCATTCGTGGCATATTAGTTGTTCCTGACTTTGCTATTCCTGGAGACTACTTCCTTGTTAATTATGTAGACACTGACATATTTCTTCATTCTCAGAAACAACTCTTTTAACTCATCCCTCACTGGACCGCCAGTTGAATAGTTTTGCAGGTGCACCCTCATCTGCCTCCCCACAATTCCACCAATTGAAAAGTTTTTTCAAGTGCATTCTTCAAGTGCATTCTTGTCTGCCTCCACCATGCACCTTCATCCGCCTTCGCCATGCACCCTACCTCACCACAATTCCGCCAATTGAAAAGTTTTTTTCAGGTGTACCCTTGTCTGCCTCTGCCATGCACCTTCGTCCACCTTTGCCATGCACCCTACCTACCCACAATTCCACTAATTGAAAAGTTTTTCAAGTGCACCCTTGTCTGCCTCCACCACGCACCCTCTCTGCCTCTGGCATGCACCCTCGTCTACCTCCCCACAATTCCGCCAATTGAAAAGTTTTTTCCAGTTGCACCTTCGTCTGCCTCCACTGTGCACCCTCTCTGCCTCTGGCATGCACCCTCATCTGTGTCTATCTCCGCCAGTTGAAAAGTTTTTTCAGGTGTGCCCTCGTCTACTTCCCCACAATTCCGCCAATTGAAATGTTTTACAGTTGCACCTTTGTCTGCATCCCCACAATTCTGCCTCCCCACAATCCCCTTCATCTGCTTCTGCACAATTCCAGGTTCATTGACAAAGAGGACGTGGATATCATGGGGTTTGTGTGGTTTGTATTCTGTGACAGAACTTTTCAAATGGTGCAGCCTCTGATCTATGCTTTCCATTCACATATAACTGCTATCTACAGCACAATCCTATTATGGGAGATCTCAAGCAGCAATGTTACCCCCAAGATGGAGGCTTAAATCAAGAAGTCATCAAGGACTAATACATCCGCTCATAGACTAGTGGGTATTCTTGCACATCTACCCCGGTGTTATAATGGACACGCACTAAAGTCCCACACCCCCAGGTCCCCTTAGGCTGTATATTCACCCTCCTCGCAACCACATTCAGGTGTTTCAGAGCATTATTAATAATGGCATCAACAAGTCACCGACATGTGTACTCATCATGCGTTTCTTATGATGCGGCCCTCTCTTGGCAGGGGTTCGATGATGACACCACACGTGGATCATTACGCGTTACAAGTTGTACTTGAACATTTTTGGAGCATAACGGGTGTGTATTTTACCTTTGAGTCCCTAATTTGTGTGTAATGGCTACTTGTGCTACAGGTTTAGTATGTATTTGTGCGTGGTGCCGCCCTCAAGTCCCCAAAATGTTCTGAATTGCAATGCTCGCCTATCAGCACATGATCCAGACTGTGAGTTCTGTATATAAACTCACAATGACACTGATCCAGATTCCTCCAGTTCTACCCAATTTTGAGTTGCACCAGTCCTCTCGTCACCTTCGCCCATCATGCCGCAGCGCCAAGATCTACTGGAGTCCAACACCGAATTTGACCCTGAGTCCTCATCAGAGTCTAATTCAGATGACTCAGACGAAGAGCTTGTACAGGTCCGCACCGCAATTGCACCTGCTTCTGTAGATGCAATGCCTCAAGAGCTCCATCAGGTAAGTTATTGCATTGTTATCGAGTTTGATACCGCATTTTAAATCCTTCAGTTTGCGATCACTAATAGGCTCTCAAGGCCACTCAAATGTTGTTGTTCAACTTGTGGTAGATACTGGGAGACTATGAAGAGGAATGCCCTGCTTGAGGTGGCAACATCTAAAGGTTGCAAACGACACAATCTCACCCCAAACGATCTTGCGATGGCAGCCAAGGAAGACACCATCCGAGCTCTTGGGAGGAAGTACTCCATCACTCACTGTCTTTGGATTAACATCAAGATCTTCCCGTTGCATACTTGTCCAGACATCAATCTTAACAGCAAGGAGCACTGGATAAGCGGGGTGTCGATGGAGGATGGTGTGAAGGCTGAACTATTCCAGTTCATTCCTGCAGAAGAGCATGAATTGATGAATTATCATAGCTTTGGCTCTCAGGTATGTCACGCCTATCATGTCGATGTATTCTCATATTCTGATCCAAATCTCCTTAGTTCAGGAGGGGCGTCAGTAATGCTTGTTCTGAAATGGCTTCAGATGTTGGGGCATGTGCTAATGCCATCTTCAGTCTGAGCGCGAACATCTTCATATGGGGCTACAAACGACATGAAAACCCTGGATGTCGTGCGCTTTTACTGAGCCCCCATGGTGACTATACAAAGTTTGCGCTGGTGCTGTTTCCTACACCTGAAAGGCCGGTACCAAATGAGATGCTCAAATCAGCAAAGCTGGTGCAAGTACGTCCTTTTTTTGTTGTTGTACAGGCTAATAAAACCTCACATGGTGTATAACAGGTGTTGAAAGTATTGCTCTTTGGCAAATCATCTTTGGCTGCCACAGGTGCTGCATCTTCTAGGACGAAGGCTAAGATCTGGAAATTACGAGCCACAATATCAGGTATGATTGCTGCTGCTGCTGTCGTCATAAGTTATTTTTGAGCTATTGTTACAACTACAACTCATTATTCTCAAACATCAGGCAATATTCCTACTTTCCGGTGACACAGAACTGACTGAGATTGGGGAGACCACTAAGATACCATATCATGAATACCACAACTTCTTCCATCAACGCCTACTCACTGGTGGCCCCTGTGCACACCAGGTGCTCTTATTCTTCAATGATGCTCTCTTCTCAACTTCATCCTCTGTCCCTCCTTCTGCCCATGACGATGGACCGGGCCACATGTATGAAGAAGAGTTCGAGCGTGCCATGGAACAGGAGCTTGAAGGCCCAGTCTTCAATGCAGATCGTTGGATGATGTCCGTCCGCCATTACCAAACCCATGGACCATTAGTGTCCCACACAATTCACTCCTTTCAGACTCTGAAGATGAGGCTCGTCATCCCGCTGGATCGGGCATGGACTGCAAGGGAAACCCAGGCCAAACCTCTATGGCGGGAGGAGGCGGCTCTATCTATCAAGGACTGACTACAACACGCCTCAGGACTACCGACTACGAGCCAGGACCCCTGGCACTCCCGACCTGATCCGTCCTGCTGGAGCACCCCACTCCACCGCACCTCTGAATCATCCTCCTGCAGCTCTGACTGTCAATGCAGCGGCGGCTCCCACTATTGTAGATCCACCTGTTTCAGCTCCCCCTGTTCCAGCCCCCCCTGTTCCAGCTCCTTCAGAGTCTATATCTACCGCGATGGGGGACCTTAATCTGGGGAATCAAGATGTTCGTCTTGGAATTGAACATTTAAGTCCTGTGGAAATCAATAATGCGCACCCAAAACCAAAACCAAAGCCCCGGCGCAAAGCCCAGACAGCTGATAATCTTGTCATAGCCAAAGGTTCCACTGTGGATTCTACTCATTCAGCTGTCGGGAGCGTCAACGCTCAGACTACACAGAGGTCTGGCCGAAAGGCCAAATAGTTTGCGCTCATCCAACAGTCATTACACCTACATGTTTTTCAATACATAGTATTTCTTGATTTGCATTCTCATTACCTTTTTTCAAGGGCGTTTCTGTCACGCTCATCCAGCAGCAGCCAGACCTTAAAAATATTTGAGGCTTGGTTGCCAATACTGGTTTTGTTTGTCGCTCTCGGACTCTACTTAGTGCTTATAGAATTTGCTGCCTACGCATTTTAAATTAGACTTTGATTCAAATCGCAAGTTGTTTCCTATTATGGAAAGATGATGCAAGGCCAAACAAAGGTTGAACTTCGTCTTCCCTCAGACTTTCAACTTCTTTCAACCAACCTTATTGTCCTGAACCACATTGACAGCATATTCTGTCTTACATTCTGAATCCTTGGACTTCCCTTAGACCTCTGAATCCTCAGCTCGTCAAGACCATTGAGGACTCTGAAAATTTCCTTATATGACACGGTAAACTTTATCAATGTGCTTGTTGCTGCTACCACTGAGCGCTCCATTTATTTAGAATTGTTATTAATAGCCCTCATCGTCGACTCGTCAAGGCAGGCAGTTGCTTACCGTTGTAGAGATTCACATTTCTCCAGGCTCATATGGGCCAAATTCACGGCTTTTCACAATGCACTCGATATCCTTGCAACGCGCTTCTCATACAACTTCCGCGCAATGCGCTGTAGAGACTCAATCCTGAGTAGCCTCACAATGGCATATATTGCAACATAGGTCGAGTCTACAGTAATATGCATGCAACGCGACACTTGCGCGATAAACGCGACGTTCGCGCGACGCACGCGACATAGGCGACACTTCCGCGACTTGCGCGCGCTTTAGGCGAATTTTCCCGCGCCTAAGCGCTATAGGGCGCCTGACTTCCCACTGTGTTTTCCCATGTCCAACCAAGTTCCCAGGTATGCATTTCTCCATTTATCATTTATTTCAACATCGTACCATGTTTATTTTCACTTGGTACACATTTTTCATTACACATTTTTTACTTGACACAACACACATTACCACGGACCACCATCATCATAGACAGTCACCATCTCCGAGTTTTTATTATGTTTTGAATAAATCATCGCAAGCCCTAGTAGCAGTTAGCTCTAGTGGCCATATCCGCATCAGTTGTCTTATCAGCATCTCAGTACACGTCTTAACATCTCACTATCGCTCGCATACCGCTTTCACCCAGTTCCGCTTTTCGACGCGCGACTTTCCCGCGCTTCGCGCGCCTATAGCGCCTTTGTTCCCGCGCTTTCGCCTTATCACGCGCTTTGCGCATTCCCCCTAGAGTTGACCAGTGGATATTTGCTTTCTCTGCTTCCCCTAAGGGACGAACATATCGCACTCATATTTTCCTCCCTTCAACAATTATATCAGCTGCACCCTCAGCTGAGTTGAAGATCCTTCAGCGCGCCTTGGCGCGTACCAGCGCATTACGGTGCACTTTGTCGCATTTCCTTAGGATCCGTCGCCTGTCCTCCGCATGTCCCGTTCTAGTCCTCCAAGGTCCATTGGTGCGTTTTCCCTTCTTCAGAACTCATACTCCGTCACGCAGGCACTAGTACTTATCATCATATCTCGTTATGGACCCTGACTTACCTCACCATTTACCTTAGTACTTCCTATTCAGCTCCGAGCCGTGGGAACTCACTTAGCATACCTACACGTCACCATGTTTGTTTTCCTGTCACTCACTTCCGCTCCACTACCATCGAAGTGTATAGCTTGAGTTTCTATCTGAATACACTGGTTTCCTTCCTATTGGCGCTTTGACACCTTTAAGTGTCTATTTCTACATCTATCAAAGTCCTGATTCCCCCATTTGATTGTCATCTCTACTCGATGCACTCCGTTGTGATCGCACGAAGTGTGCTTTTCCGCACTTTCCGCCTTATAAGTGCATTTAGGCACCTTTAGCTAGCGCACTTCGCTTTTGGGTGCATTATTTGCCTCAGAGTCCCATTCAGGCTTCAAGACCAAACCACTGGTTATAGATCCCCCTCACCTTTCACTAGAGGAATCTTTCTCAGTAGCAATCCCCTTGGGACAACTTTCCACTCATATCCAGAGGAGCACTTGAGAGCCCACTTCCCACTCTTCCCCCTAGCACGCAGCTATCATTCCTCGCCCTCACCGTCAAATGCTTCTCCTTCATTTCCCCCTCGACAATGTCTACCACCACCATAACCATAGTTTTCTCCTCCACGATATGGATCAGCTGTTTGTGAATGGTGGACTCTTATTCCTGGACCGCTGTAGTGCTGCCATCCTGCCATTATAATGTGCGTATCTGCATGTATTAGTTGAACCGTTCAGGGCGCCTCGTGAAAGGCATATTTGTAATAGTATTAGTGATAGCTTTGCCTTACAATGAATCCAATGCCCTCAAAATGGAATCAACTAACTTCCAATTATCTTGCAATCAAGGTGTCTTTAGGCTGTCTCAAAATTTGACCCTTGCATTGGAATGGTCTTGGGACGGTCTTGGAAGACCACCTCTGAGGCTTCCAAGCAACTTCCATGATTTTCGGGTTGTCTTGCAACCGGACCGCAATGCCGCCGGTAAATTGAAGCCTTCCACGCCATTTTAATATATTCCAACCAAAATTAGATTTTTCCGACAATTTGTAGCCAGTAAAGTTCAGCCTGATAGCCAGAATAATACTACTGGTTATGTCCGTTAAGGTTATTGATTCAGTTGTCCGACTCTCGAGTCATTTCAGCAGCTGACGGTCCAGTCACAGCTGCATGTCTCTACATCAGCCAAGCTTCTTTCCGACAACTGCACTAGCATCTGAAAATCCAAAATCCTGAAATGAGCCTTCAAGGCGCGTTCGGGGAGCCATATATAGCTCGCATCGGCTCGCGCGCCTTTTTAGTCGTTATTGCATCTAAGTTGTCTCAGCTACTTGCAATCACCACGAGAAACAATAAATATTAGTTTCACAAACCTATTTAGAGACCTATGCAGGTAATATCGTAGCCTATAGGTGTGGTTATGTATATTATGTAGATTATCTGCTGGGCCTCCTAAGTTAAGATGGACCTCCGAGGAGCTTTACACCGCAAAAAGATTGTCAGCAGGTTTTGCACCAACTCCGAGAGAAAACAGATTTTGACTCCATTGGGGTAACCACTTGGCTAAGACCGGTTAGATGGGTCTGCAAGGAAACCATCCATGAGTCAATGTGAAGGGTGTGTTCTTATAGAAAAAACCTCATCAGCAACAGGATTCGGACCTGCACATTCCACTGTTGTGGTAACCACTTGGCTAAGACCAGCTAAGATGAGTCTCGAAACCATCCGTCATGATGTGTTAATGCGCAGTCCAAGAGAAATAGATCTCGATTCTGCTGATCGCTGACTACTGCCAGATAGTCGTGCAGTCAATTGTCTGTACTCCAGCATGATTTGACGGTATGGAGTATGATGGATTCAAAAAACCTTATAGCTCGAGTATTCACCACATTTCCTTGCCATCCGTGATAGAGGTGCTGAGCGAGGAGTAAAGCGCGCCTGACAAAATATGATCAAAGCACCAGTTGTCTGAGCACAAAAAAAGGGATGTCCTGTACTAAACAAGTAGGCTTCCCCAGTAAAACAAGCCTGTTCTCGTCTTTCTCGACCTCTGACAGCAAGTTCCATGTCATATCCATGGACATCGGGAATAGGAGGGGGTGGAAGGTACTTCTTTCTCATGTCACTAAGGAGACTTGGATGATTGATAATCCACTGGCAGAGCACTTGACAGGTAAAAGTAAGATCCACGTGGTCTGATGTCATAAATGACGCACAACAAAACCAAACCAATGACGACTGGGTGACCAACCCTGAGGTTTTAGTGGGTATCATGCTGCCCAGGCCCTCGCAGACCGTGGAAACCAGGCAGAATTAGAGTCCCACACTACTTCACAATGTGAAGTGTGCGTAAGAGCATTTTTCCTCGGACAATATTTACTAATAGATATCGCTATAAGTGTTTACATAGGGCCAGATGGTGTCGGTTGCTGTGTAATAGACTTGCTTTTTCCAAAATAAAAATAAAATAAAAATATACTGGACGCGACAGCGCATGTAATGTATTTTGGTTTGTTAATACCCATGTACAAATCAGCTAGTATTGGGGGGTGTAAGCATAAGCACGGATAAGCGTAAACTGTAAGCTCCCAGGTGTGAGCTCCCCTAATGATTATATTGAGGCATGAATCGGATATAAGAGCGGTGGGAGCTGTGCAAATCAAAATCAACTTTATGTAATTCAAATTGCAATACTTACTTCGACCAATCAAGAATCTATATCTTCATAACCATTATGCTGATCTCGGACAGTGCTTGGTACATCTACTATTAATACGAACACTATGTTGTTATAACTTGAATACCCAACATCCCCCACTCGCTCACACCCATCTCTCGAATATGACCTATGTCTCCACTGATCCCAGTTGGTGGCCGTTCATCGATTCGGATATTTTGTTCTCCTATTGGACATGTTTGTCATATCAGTTGGCTGGATGTCTAACATTGACTTGTGGTTTCGCAGTTCCTGTCAGCGTCGTGGTGGTATACGATTGGGGTGAGCAGGACAGTGTTTGAAAACCGCTCATATTCTCATAATATTTCCAGTCCTAACACTCGGACAAGAGGTATGTTGGTGCTATTGACGGAGTAGGCAACGTGCTAACAATGGTGTCACAGATTGAATTCATCTGGGTGAGTGACAGATCCGAGTTAAAATAAAAACAGGTGAATACAATAAATTCGCGACAGAGGCAACGCTGGTCTCTCATGACTGTCATGTATTTGCTTGTTCATACTTCATATTATGCTATAGCATGGTTGGCAAGTTGTCCTGACCTCGAAATGTTTTAGATACGCTATATTGTAATACCATATCCTGTGTATGTGTTTGAGGCCAACAAGTTGGCACTGTAATAATAGCCCATCTCTCGTTATCAGTATCCACGCTCTGGGTATGTCTCATACAATGCACTGTGTTCGATTATTCTGACCTGCCGCACACAGCAATTATGCCATCAGTCTCCCTGACAGATGCAGTGAGTATTCCGCAATCATCTTATTCCTATCCAATGAATACACTCATATATAGGGGTGAGTGAGATTCAATTGAACTAGGCTCAACATAAAGACTTGACAGGTGTAAGTTGGAGTGTTTGATACTAGTACGAGGTGGTCACTGACTGCATGTTTCAGGTAATATTATAAACTACACAATAAATGGGATAAATGTGGTCGTAACTGCCATGCTGGGTGGTGAGCTGCAATACCTCAGCAATATTGACTCGACTGAAACACGATGCAAGTCATCATGATTGCTCGCTTGCATGCCATGTATCAGAGATCTAGGAGGATGCTTATCTTCCTTGTTGTCATCTTTCTGGCTGTTAACATCGCCTGCGGAGTACTCGCGGCAATGGCACTCAAGGATGTTGTAGGAGGTAAGCTTTACTTGTTGACTTGAAAAACACCTCTCATTGCACATATTGCAGTAACATATCTCCGTATTATACGAGTGAATGGACGTGCATAATATCCCGTATGATACGGGCCAGCGGACCATGGGCCGAAGGGAGATATATCCTCGACTGTGACGGATGGGCCGGGAGTGTTATTATTCCCGATGGAGACAGGTTGGCCCAGGTGGGGAATATGTAAAGTAGATGGGTGGGCCGATGGACATGAATTTTCAATAGACGGATTGGCCGAGGTAGTTGGATATTATGTAGATGGGTGTACCAAGGTAGATATGTATCAAATAGCCGTGTATATCAAGGGTGCTTGTTATCACATAGCCAGGTGGGCCCAGATATATATCATATTAGACGGGTTGGCCGACGAATTAATATTATTTTGTAGACGGGTGGGCCGACGTATTGGTATTATTTTGTAGACGAGTGGGCCAAGGGAGCGGTGAAAGATTTATTATATACAGGTGGGCCAATGGTAGACATATATTGCATAGACGGGTAGGCCGACGTAGGGGTATATAATATAAACAGGTGGGCCCAGGAGAATGATAATTGTAGACATGATGGAGCTCAGCTAGTTGTATATCATGGAGGTAATAATTCAAAGTCATCTAATGATGTAGTATGGCACGGAGCCTTGCAAAGGGATGAAGTGGAAACTCGAGCGAAGTGTACCGAGTTCCGAGACCCGGGTCTCGACAAACGAATATGTGATGTCCAGCACACTTCCGATCATCTGGTATTTCATTGAGCAATATATGATAATAGATCTTTGAAAGCCAACATCATCCAAGCCTACCAAATGCCAAATGCCAAGTTCCAACTACCGAAAATCAAGTGAAGTGTACCAATATCCGAGCCCTGACTATCAAATCCCGACAATCGACCATTGAGTCCCGACTACCGAGTCTTGAAACCCGAGTCCCGAAGCCCGAGATTTGAGTCCTGAAACCCAATGCCTGACCATTGAATCCCAACAATCGAGTATCAAGTCCTGACCAACGAGTCCCAAATATTGAGTCCCAACCACCGAGACCCAACACCCGACACCCGACACCCAACAACCGACAACGGACAACGGACACCCGACACCCGAGATTTAAGACTCAAGTTCCGACTACGGAGTCCCGGATATCGAAAATCAAGTGAAGTGTACCGAGATCCGAGTCCAACCTGAAGGATTCCTTAGGCTGGACTTCCAAACCTTTGGATTTGTCCTTCCATCTCTATCCAAGCTTAAGGATTGATTCCTTAAGCTGGACCTTTGCCTTTCTGGCACTTCCTGTCTTTCCAAGACTTATGTCTACTTCCTGTTATCTCCAACTCCACCTAAGTGTAGCCTACCTCTGTTTGCTTCTACTCCAGACCTTGTCCATGGTAGCCTTTATTCTCCTGTCCTATAATCCTGTCCACTCCTGCTGACCTCCGGACCTTTGGATCTCCGGACCTTTGGATCTCTGGACCTTTGGATCTCCGGACATCTTACCCTTTGGATATCAAAACCTTCAGACATTGTAACCTTTGGACATCATGACCTTCAGACATCATAACCTTTGGACATCTTAACCTTTGGACATCTGAACATTCAGATGGCGCAACCTTCAGACGTCCTGTCCTCTGGACCACTCCTCCTATCTGATCCTGCTTTGGACTCTGTCCCTTGCAGTCTCTCCTCCATGTGCTTCCATCTAGGAAGCTTACCTTCAGAAGTCATATCATCGGACCCTATGCAGCAGGTGAAACTCCTCCAGAGTTTCCTGTACTTCTCTAGAAGTTCCTATACTCCTCCGGAAGGTTCCTGTGCTCATCCAGAAGTCCTCCAGCACTCCACCAGAGTAGCCAGCCTCCGGAAGTCCTTCGGACTTCATTGGATTTCATCTGGACTTCATTCTGAAATTAAGGGCATGTACTCGGGAAAGGTGCAAAATAAAATATACTGACTACCGAGTGCTGAGCACTAAGTGTCGAGTTCCAAGTTCCGAGTTCCGAGTTCCGAGTTTCGAGTGCCCCGATGCTTTCGGGTATCAACGCCCAGATAGCCCTTGCTCTCAGAGGCCCATCAGAATTTAGATCATCTCAAACAGATGTGATTTGAGTGAGATATGAGCAAAATACTACATATCGGGTGAATTTCAGCATTGGAAGTTTGATGCTTTCGATGTTTTTGATGTCGGGTCTCGATGGTTTCGGGCATTAACATGTAGATAGCCCTCGATCTCAGGGGTGTGGCAAATTTAGATTGTCTGAAACAGATATAATTTGAGTGAGATATATGCAAAATACCACACACTGACTACCGAGTGCTGAGTACCATGTGCCAAGTGCCGAGAACCAAGTTCCGAGTGCCGAGTGCCAAGTGCCAAGTGCCCCGATGCTTTCGGGTATTAACACCCAGATAGCCCTCGCTCTCAGGGGCCTGTCAGAATTTAGATCATCTAAAATGGATGTGATTTGAGTGAGATATGAACAAAATACTATATACCGGGTGAATTTCAGCATTGGAAATTTGATGCTTTCGATGTTTTTGATGTCGGGTTCTGATGCTTTCGGGCATTAACATATAGATAGCCCTTGATCTCAGGGGTGTGGCAGAATTCATGTTGTCTCAAACGGATATAATTTGAGTGAGATATTTGCACCATACTATGTATATACTGACTACCGAGTGCTGAGTGCCAAGTTTTGAGTTCCGAGTTCCGAGTGCCAAGTGCCGAGTTCCGAGTGCCGAGTGCCCCGATGCTTTCGGGTATTAACACCCAGATAGCCCACGCTCTCAGGGGCCCGTCAGAATTTAGATCATCTTAAACGGATGTGATTTGAGTGAGATATGAGCAAAATACTATATACCAAGTGAATTTCACCATCAGAAGTTTGATGCTTTTGATGTTATTGATATCAAGCCTCGATGCCTTCAGGCATTGAAATGCAGATAGCCCTAGATCTCATGGGTCTGGCAGAATTTAGCCCATCCCAAATGGATAAGAGTTGAGTGAGATATGAGCAAAATCCCATATACTGTGTGTATTTCAGCATTGTAAGGTCAATGCTTTCCATGTTTGCAATGTCTAGCCTCAATGCATTCAGGCATTCACAAGCAGATAGAACTTGATCTCAGGGGCCTGTCACAATTCAGATCGTCTCACACGGATAAGACTTGAGTGAGATATGAGCAAAATATTATATATCGGGTGATTTTTGATGTCAGGCCTTGCACCAAGGGTAAGCACATAGCACAACAGGAATAAATCCTGTTGTCCTAGTATCCTTATATATTGCATATACTATTGAAGGGATGTTGGGGATCATATTTTGCCTCAAACAGACATGATTTGAGGGAGATATGAGCAAAATACAATTTATTGGGTGTGTCTGAGCTTCGCAGGTTCAATGTCTTTGTTGTCAGCCTTGTGTGGGAAAAATTCTAAAACATCAGGAGAAACATAAAAACACATCATCAGGGACTGCATCAGGTTTGCTATGATCACACCTATGTATAATATGATAGATTGGCTTCCAATGTACTGTTCCAGTCCCTGAACCAGTATCTGTCAGTGGTATGTATCTCTAAATACAAAAAAAACTCGAAATTCAAGGCAATCACTGTGCACTGGTGCAAGAAAGTTACAATCACAAGATATATACATCAGCAAAATATGATTTTGCCACACGGTTACCAGAAGGTCACAAGCTTTGACAGTGCTTACTAGACTAAGGATATGATTGTCTTAACTCAATAGTCTTAACTTGCTAGGCATAATATAAGCTTTCTTAATAACCATGACTGTCATATCTTCCATAATAATCCTAACCCTCACAGCTTATGTATTATGTAGTAATCAACAATCATATTAGACTATCAAGTGAAGACTATCGTGTAATGACTATCAAGTTAAGACTATTGTATTTTATTCTAAGTCTGTACAATAGACCTGTGATACTTGATGAGTGTCAGCCTGAACAGTATATTAAAGATCACACTATCATACTACACATAGGTATGACTATTGAAACATGATGTAGTGCCTTATGATGTGTTTTTATGTGTCTCCTGATGTGTTGAGAATGTCCTACATTACCTCATATGTCCATGTGAGGCCATATGAATTCTGCGACACTCCTGACATTGAGGGCTATCCACATGTCAATGAACACAGTCATCTAGGCCTCACATTGAAATCATTGAAAGCATCAAACTCCTGATGCTGAAATACGATCCAAATTCTGAAGGACCCCGGAGAGTGAAGGCTATCTGCATATCAATGCCTGAAAGCATTGAGGCCCGACATCAAAATCATTGAAAGCATTGAACTTCCAATGCTGAAATTCACCTGATATATAGTATTTTGCTCATATCTCACTCAAATCACATCTGTTTGAGATAATCTAAATTCTGGTGGACCCCTGAGAGCAAGGGCTATCTGGGTGGTAATGCCCGAAAGCATCGGGACACTCGGCACTCGGAAGGCACTTGGCACTTGGCACTTGGCACTTGGCACTTGGCACTTGGCACTTGGCACTTGGCACTCGGCACTCAGCACTTGGTGGTCAGTATATGGGATTTCCATATATCTCATTCAAATTATATCTGTTTCAGACAATCTGAATTTTACCACACCCCTGAGATCGAGGGCTATCTACATGTCAATACCCAAAAGCATTGAGACCCGACATCAAAAGATCGAAAGCATCGAACTTCTGATGCCAAGATTCACCCGGTATATAGTATTTTGTTCATATCTCACTCAAATCACATCCGTTTGAGATGATCTAAATTCTGACAGGCCCTTGAGAGCGTGGGCTATCTGGGTGTTAATACCCGAAAGCATCGGGGCACTCGGCACTCAGCACTCGGCACTCGGCACTCGGCACTCGGCACTCAGCACTTGGCACTCAGAACTCAGAACTCAGAACTCAGAACTCGGCACTCAGCACTCGGGAGTCAGTATATACATAGTATTTTGCAAATATCTCACTCAAATTATATCTGTTTGAGACAATGTGAGTTCTGCCACACCCCTGAGATCGAGGGCTATCTACATGTTAATGCTCGAAAGCATCAAGACCAGACATCAAAAACATCGAAAGCATCAAACTTCTGATGCCAAAATTCACCCAGTATATAGTATTTTGTTCATATCTCACTCAAATCACATCCGTTTGAGATGATCTAAATTCTGACGGGCCCCTGAGAGCGAGGGCTATCTGGGTGTTAATGCCTGAAAGCATCGGGGCACTCGGCACTCGGAACTCTGCACTCGGAACTCGGTTCTTGGCACTTGGCACTCAGAACTCAGAACTCGGCACTCAGTTTGAGATGATCTAAATTCTGACGGGCCCCTGAGAGCGAGGGCTATCTGGGTGTTAATGCCCGAAAGCATCGGGGTACTCGGCACTCGGAACTCAGAACTCAGCACTTGGGACTCAACACTTGGGACTCATTCACCCTGTATCTTGGATTGTGCATATATCTCACTCAAATCATATCTATTTAAGACTATCTCAATTCTGATGAATCCCTGAGATCTAGGGCTATCTGCATGTTAATGCCTAAAAGCATCGAGAGCCGACATCAAACACATTGAAAGCATCAAACTTCTGATGCCAAAATTCAACTGGTATATAGTATTTTGCTCATATCTCACTCAAATCACATCTGTTTGAGATGATCTAAATTCTGACAGGCACCTGAGAGTGTGGGCTATCTGGGTGTTAATGCCTGAAAGTATTGGGGCACTTGGCACTTGGCACTTGGCACTTGGCACTTGGCACTTGGCACTTGGCACTGGGCACTGGGCACTCAGCACTCGGTACTTGGTACTTGGTAGTCAGTACTTGGTGATTCGATGTAGAGACTCGTGTTTCTGTGGGCTCATATGGGCTCATTTTACGAATTCTGACAACTGGCCTTCATGGCATGACTCGCACTATCATCCACTATGACTTCCCTATAGAGTGCACCACTTCCCGCGAAACGCGCCATAGGCGCGACACTTTCCCGCACAACGCACAGTATTCCCGCGTGCGCGCCTTGCGCACTTTCTCGCGCTTAAGCGCACTATGTCGCACAGCATCCAGGAGCATCCATCCATCGTCCAACCAGTCCCTCGGTATGTCCCTTTTCATTATCTGACCATATTTAGCATATTACACTTCCCATTTCGTTATGCACCCTTACTTTACATCACCTTACCTCATTTACATACTTAGAGCGCTCCCTATTCGGCTCCGAGCCCTGGGAGAGCGCTTAGGTAGAACTTACATACTCTCATGTTCATTTTACACCCCAAACTATTCCACCTTACCTTCCTACCACTCAGTATCTATCACCAGTTAGTTCCATGCAATGCATGTATCCATCATCATCTTGAGGCCCTAGCATCAGTCTATAGCTAGTGGCACTGTCAGTATCCGTCTAGATCCGCGCTTTTCCTCTTATCAGTCTCAGTATCCGTCTTCTACACTTGTGCACCACTTGCACTACCTTCCCGCGCTTCGCGCACTTTCGCACTTCGCTTTCCTGCGCACGCTTTCTCGTGCTTTCACCACCATTCACCAGGGTTGTTCAGCATCATTCCGTGGATCCTTGTTTTCCTTGCTTCCCCTTTAGGGTCGAACGTTGTTGCATTCTGCGAGTATAGCAGCTAGGCAGAGCTGAGACTCACTTATACTGGCTGAGCACTTTTCTTATATGTGCCTGCCAGGTTGTGATACCCACATCGAGTCTCGAGACTTGAGACTGGTGATTCACAAGTCAAAATTTGAAACTAATGTGTAGTATCTTATGTATTTCTGTACTCATTTCACTGACTACCGAGTGCCGAATCTTGGGTCTTGGGTATCAGGTCTCGGTACTTGGTACTCGGTATTTCCAGATGACAAAAATGTATATCATCTTAAATTTGAATTTTCTTAACTCGTAACAATGTATGAGTTTCCAGTTGAGTTTTGAATTTTGAGTTTTGAGTCTCTTGAGTCCCGAGTCTGGGTGTTCAGGGCTCGGGTTTCAGGTTTCAGGTTTCAGGTTTCAGGTTTCAGGTTTCAGGTTTTGGGTTTTGGGTTTTGGGTTTTGGGTTTTAGTACTTGGTACTTGATATTACCCGATGTCGGCCCACCCGTCTATGTAAAATTCTGCACTTCAGCCCACCCGTCTATCTAATATGACCCCATGTTGGCCCACCCGTCTATGTAAAATTCTGCACTTCAGCCCACCCATCTATCTAATATGACCCCACGTCAGCCCACCCGTCTATCTAATAAATAATTCACCTCATCCTCGGCCCACCTGTCTATGTAAAATTCTGCACTTCAGCCCACCCGTCTATCTAATATGACCCCACGTTGGCCCACCCTTGGCTCACCCATCTATCTAATATTTCCCTATGTTGGCCCACCCGTCTATCTAATAAATATTTCACCGCTCCCTCGGCCCATCCGTCTACAAAATAATACTGATACGTCGGCCCACCCGTCTATATAATACTATTTGCTATACATCTCTCCTCAGGTCTATAATATATGTCAATCCTACTCTACATATTACCCACATGGGCCCACCCATCTCCATAATAATATTTCTCCCGGCCCATCCGCTATCATCGATGATATATATAACATCAGCATAGATGGGCCCACCCGTCAACATCGGAAATAATATTCCTCCCGGCCCACCCATCAACATCGGGTATATACATAACATCGGCCCATAATCCGCTGGCCCGTATTACATGGGATATTATGTAGGTCGGGTGACCCGTATAATACGGGATTTGTCACTGAAGGGGCTCGACTTTGTTCCATGGCTATAGAATTCTACTCTGACAATGAGGATAATACTGCCGTCATTTGTGCTAAACGACGCATTGCAGCTTTGGAACAGGAGCTTGAGGTTCTCAAGGCCAGTAATAAGCGAGTCAAACTGTACGTCTTTAGCCTTCTCTTCAGAATTATTTCTACATCGCTGATCCTATGTTATTAGCTACGTAAAGGTGCAGACAGCGCCCGAGGGGATGATACCGCCAATCTCAAACATGCGGTTGTTACATGGCTCACCGAACTTTTCATCCCCTGGACCCACCTCTTCACACAACTGTTAAAGATGATCGCGGGTTCATCCATCATATTACCGGCAAGCTCCTGTGTCCTGCAGAGTATATTTGGTCTCTCAACTCGTAAGTATCATCTGCACATTGTGGTATTAGTGTTTTTACAGCCAGGATAGGACCAAAGAGAAGATCAGAGACAGGGATCCTGACTTCCTTGTCACAGCTTACTCTTGGCCGGCATTCTTATACACAGACTACACTTTTGACTCCAGCAACATTGAAAAGGGGCTTTTCATTCAGCTCTGCTTCTCAAAGTAAGTTGTGCTGTTTCAAGTGACCAACCCTGCTTATTCCAAATAAAGGCCTTCAAACATCTATTCACATCTCCATCTTCTGCCAAAGAAGTCAAAGGCGATGGTGATGGTCCTGGCGTCTGTCATTTTTATCAGGAGGACGCTTTGATTGTTGCCAGACATTTTGTGTACTCCGTAGATCTTTGAAAAGTACATTTTAATCAGCTTCTTCATTCGTACAAGCAATCCCCTTTGAGTGGCAGTACAGGCAGTGGGTGTATACTTTTCATGTTCGTGCAATTAAAATTGGTTTACTCCAAGTAATGTGAACACGCTGGAGCAGTGTATCCATGACAGTGTGCCTGCATGTTGCAAGCAAGGCAAAATGGTAGAGCACGGCACTACAACAAACCCCGAAGGACACTGAATGGCTTGCTGAACTATGGTGCTACTCGGTGTGAAAAACACAACCTGACTAGGCACTTGTCAAGGTACTAAGCCAGTATATGTCTAAGCTCTGCCTATGCTGCTATACTTGCAAACAATAAAGCAAGAATGTTCGACCTGAGGGAAAAGCTACTAAGGACAACTCAAGATCGAAAGACCCGAAAGAGCGCTAGAGTGCAGGAATAGTGCGTCGCAAGATAGAGCGCTAATGCGCGGGAAAGAGCGGAAGTCAAGAAAGCTGACACTGAGTTAAAGGAGGGTAATGAACAGCGAGTGAGATCAAGGGTATTGATTGCAAGGGTAAGGAAAGTCAAATAGGGGCCATAGAGCGCAACTAAAGGGTGACTACTTCTAAGTAAAACCTAAGGGAAAGGAAATACAGTCAAAGGGAAGTAATGTTGAAGTAGTCACCATAGGCTTCTTATACTAGTAAACTATACCATCTCGGACTCGGAAGGGATAGGATATACATGTAATAAGACTGTAGCACTTTTTACAAACTTGAGGCAAGGCAAATTACATACCAATGAGGTAGGATGGACCATGGATGGATTCCGACATTTCAAGTGATTCCTAGAGCGCGAGAACAGCGCGCTGGACTAGCGCTAGGCGCAGGAACAAGCGCTAGATAGAGCAGACAAGTGCTAGGTAGAGCGGACATGCACTAATGCTCCTATAGACACATTGCTGGTAGTTCTGATAGCGCTATAAGCGCGGGAATAGCGTCGGATAAGTCGCAGGAGCATGAATAGCGCTGTGGGAATGTGCGCGCATAGTGCGGGAAAGTGCGGAATAGCGTCGGACAAGGGTTATGGCTGAGACAAGTGAAGACTGCTGATAGGGGAGTAGTGAATGATATGAGGGGTAACTTTGGTCCACCTATTGAAGGCTTATGCAGGTATACATGCCTAGCGCCAATATGATTGTCACATCGGCTCCTACTCGGCTCTCACTCCCAGGGTCCCCTAGTCCAATGCGTGTTACTCCCAAGGTCTGTTTTCTGGGGACAGAAATTGAAGCTGAAGCCTCCGGAGTGTACAGAGGACCCACACAGGACTTGCCTGATACACTGCAATAGACATGCAAACATTGGTGCAGTTAATGTTCGATGTCGGACAGAAAGTCAAGCATGACACACGCAGAGAATTGCCCAATCATGCACCAGAGCAACATATTCTGACCATATACAAGGTGTTACTCCTAGGTAGTCCAATAGACAGCCATTCCTTCTAAGGTGGACACAGCCTTTTATTTGTGAGATGTTCAGTGTGCATTAAAGCGCGCTGATCACTGCGACTGCTGCACTCTTGCCCGCTCCAGCTTGGAATAAAACTCCTCCTACCTTTGCACTGCATCGAGTTAGTGTTGACAAAAAAGGAGTCACGACAGCCCAGACGTACCAGACTTGAGGTGTACACCATACCTATTCATGATTTGATAAGCTGAAAAACAATCTATTTACCTGTAAAACATAAGCAGATGAGACATCGAGACCAAGGGCGACCGAACAGTCGAGCCAGTCTCTTTCTAAGCTTGCCAGTGAAACGACTTTGATTTTTGAAGCAAACGCAGTTCCTGAGCGTCACCTGTTAGCTCTGCTTTCTCGATAAGTGTGTCGAGCATGGCATCGTGGGCTTGCAGTTTGGTGATCTTGTCACCAAGGCGTGAAATCTCGCACGAGAACTGAAGGTCTCCAGGGCAGCTAGTTGAAACGTTCCTTGTTCTGTATCCACTGAACCTTCAGCTCTGTCATCATCTTCATCGATCATATCTTCTTCATCACTGAAATTGCCCTTGTTGAGTGAAGTCGCGCTGAGGTGGTGATTCCCGCCTCTGTCCTGGCTTTGAGGGAGGAAATTGTGGGGAAGTTGCTCAGTGGCAATGATGTCCATCAGCGTGGCCTGGATGGCTCTCATTCTTTGTGCTTCATCTGCATTTTGGGAATCTTCTAGATCATCGAAGAGAGGAGCTCTGGATGTATTTGGTGATGTATCTGAAACCGGGGACATAAGCACATCAATATTGGTTTGTGAAGCAGTGGGTGGACTCGTCAGTGGGTTTTCTATGCACTGAACCACAGAGCTCAAAGAAGGGGAAGATTCTGAGCAGAAAATGTGGACAGATCCAATGCCAAGAGGACGTGATGCCAGCAGCATCAGTGATGACATCGAATGTACCAGGATACGACCTGTGGGGGGCTCCAATAATTTAGCATTGGCTTGATTGAAATCCTTGGCTATTCGGAACCACAGTTCGGATCTCTGAAGGTCCTCAAAGTCCTGTTCCATCGCCTGTTGAACCTGTCTCTGTGCCAACATGGAGCTATGACGGACTTTCTTGTCCTCCAAAGGTCCCTGAGAAATCTCAATTTGTGCATGAGAGTATATGATATCGATGTGCTTTTTAGAGATGGATGATAAGGCAGGATGGGGTGGTGTGATGAGGAATTCAAGATCCTTAATCATCGAAATGTCCTCTTTGAGCGTCAAGGAGCTTGAAGGACCTTATGATAGTTCGTCTTCATCCCCAGATGAGCTTGAGTCTATTGGCTCCAATGGGTTTTTGAAGCTTTCTACTGTTAGCCAAAACCGAACCAGGAGCGAGTGGTGCTGACGATCCATAAATTCCATGAAGTAGGAGAGTGATGCCAGGTTGCTCAAAATGTCATGTAGAGCGACTTGGGTCCGCAAACCAGACTCAGGCGAGGCAGCTGGCTCATACGATTATCTGTGTAAGTAGAAGTTATGAGTCTCTTAGAGCGACTTACCGAGTCTTCGCTACCCAATATTACTATTTGTTGTTCAACAGTCCTTTTGGAAGTATAAAGCCTGTCGAGGAAAGTTACTACGTCTTCTGTCTTCTCGTCACTTATCTAATCCTCCTTCTCGTGATTAGCTGTGGGATCATCAACATAAAATGTAGTAAACTATTTGAATAAACTAACCAAGAAGTAACCTCATTCTCCAGATTTCTCCCATGATATCATTCTTCGGGCGGCAAGCATCCAGAAGTGATGAACAATGATTGATACTCCGGAGGAACGACTCGAGCTGTCGCATATCAGTTCTTACCGTGATGGTGTCACCAGTTGAAATTGTTGAAGGAAGGCGGTTGTGCTGGTGGGGTGATTGTGCTTCTAAAGTGTTTCTCACTCGAGATATGAGTTTCCTGTATGTACATTGTTAAAAGTACATAAAAATGTTCGAGCACGTTTGCCACATACTGCTGGTGTATTGCAGCACCTGCCTATCTTAGGGTCAATGACTGCGCTCGCACTTGAGTTGAAAACATAACATACCACCTGCTCAATCATCCGATTCCAGAAATCAGGATCGCTCACCATATCCATGATCGGATACAGCACCATGCATACCAAGATTTCTCGGACAACTACTCTGAGGACCTTACTGTGGGCCTCCTGTTCTGGAAGAACATGCGAGAGCATCCGCTCCGCAATTGTTCTAAGATGTATTTCTTCATTCTGTTCCGTAAATGTAGAAGACAGATTCTCCACTGCAGGATTTGGTTTGCTGCTCTTTCCTGCTCATGAACTTGCCAACAATATGTCCAACTCCTTGGATTGCGTGAGATGACGTTTCAGGGCTACTGTTAAGACCGTACTCAGGTAGTATCGGATCCAAAGGGCTTCGGCCTCAGCTCGTGCACTGTGCCCCTTTCCCGAGTCTTGCCCCTTATTTCAGAGAGCTAAAGTATCGCGTCTAGTGAGACGGATAAGTATCGTAACGGATAAGTCTTGTATCGCAACAGATAAGTATTGCAACGGATCCGTTAAGACTTCTGGATATCGAACGTATAGAGTAACGGCTAATCCGGATCGGATCCAGACTAGAAACTAACGGGTGAGGACTGTCCGAAGACAGAGGCGGATATGTAGACTATAGGAATCTATCCTAAGTCTCGGAATAGACAAGAGTAGCGTACTCAAGTCCGGACGGATAACGGAGGGACTTCGAGTCCAGACGGAATGAGTGCAATCTAAGATGATATTCGAACTGATCTACTACAGCGCATATACAAAGGTTTATATACTACGGATAGCTAACGGAATGATCAATAAGCAAAGGTGCGAGGCTATGTACGAAAGTATAAGCAAAGTCTAAGTGGAGCGTATTGGTAAGTCGGATGGATCACGAATCATGAACCGGGAATGAAGTACAAGTAAAAGCGGATTCGTAAGTGTAGCGGATCAGTAAGCATAGCGGATCAGTAAGCAAAGCGGAAGTAAAGGATAACCGGTATACCGGTGTACAGGAATACCGAAAGGAGATGAATGATAGTTAGAGTTATATGAACAGGAAATGAAATAAGAATCAAAGCGGATCTGTGGACCGGACGACGGATATGTTCATCGGATCTGGATCGGATCTGTAACTGGATATATGGTATATGACAGCTACACCACGAAGTGTGACCTCTGATTGGCGGAATTACTCAATATGCAGTGACTTTGGGAAAAATTTGCTTCACTAGGAGAGCAGAAAGGTCAACGGTTGCGGCTGTTTGCAGAAGTCGCTCAAGGGAGTCATGAAGTACCAAATAAACTGCCGTAGGAAAGGAAAGGAATGGTGATATGTCTTTGTACCAGGTGAGTACGAAGTCGTGTACGACGAGAATCACAATGCTGATGAGGGTAGACGACACAACAGGTAGGTCAAGGTCGAAAGGTGATAATGATTGTGGAGTTTCCTGCGGCCAGTTAGAATGAGTGAGGACCATCCATGCTGTGGGAGTTGAGAAGGCAAGAGGTTTAGTTGCATGTGTGAGTGCGTTCCTATGAACTGGTTACTTGTCCAAGGCAACTCCAACAAGAATGTTCATGACAAAACACGAGAGTGCCACAAAAAGTATGATCACAGGAGAAAGGAGGATGAGGTATATCATAGACGAGATCGCACGTGTGACGACAGGAAATACAACGGCGAGAAATGCAACAGCCAAAGCAGACCTGGCACTAATAAATGAGTGCATGTGTATGTTACAGCGAAGTTGGTACATTACTATCAGCTAGAACACATTATTTGTCAGAGTCATGTTCAGATGTATTGACTCGGAGGTCACCGACCATAGAGGACATGAACAACACTTGCCATGTCGGAAAATCCTATTTTTGGTTGGAATGTCTCACGAAGACGCGTTTGCAACTCCAAGGCACATGCGATGGCCGTGAACCACAAGACATGATATATTGACATGTGGGCACTTGAGCTTGTTAAAGGTGGACAAAGAAAGGTTTGGGTCCTCAAATGGGCAAATTTTTGACTGAACATCATAGAGAGCAGCCGGGGACCTAGTAAAGATTGAACACAAATGTATGACTGTACAGCAGCCTATCAAAAATTCAGTGACCGCCTAAAGCTTCACAGATCCTAGAAAGAATTAAAGTCTGTCTTTCAATAGCACCCTCGATGCTAGACATTGCCTCAGCGACAGTCTTGGACCAGGTTGGGCACGAACTGAACTCAAATGGTGTCTGTAGCCATCTACGCTTTGGCGTAACAGAACCTACTACAGTGGGAGATGACTCAGCACGTGCCGGAGAGTTGGTCTTACTGTGCCCAAACTTGCAGGGAGTCTATCAAAAATAAATTATTTGTAGGACTCTATCATGATGTCACTATACTCATGACGTCCAGTGCGTCAGAAAACATTTGCCTTCTCTTCATAAGGGACAATATCTTAGTGGTATCTTCGACTCGAGCATTCCAATCATCAACGTCCTGAAGAACAATAATGAGAATATGTCTGGTACTACTATGTGGGATAAAATAGTGTATGTACTTACCCTTTTCAGTTGCTGGTATTCCTCTTTGAGCTTCATGACACGGTCTACATCTGGGGCAGCTCATCCATACACCAAATTCCCTGCCCCAAAAGTGCAAGTTTAGTCTCCACTGGAAGCAACTCCGGCAAAGAAGTCCTCCGACACATTGTCTGTTGCAGAGCTATTGGCACTGGCACCGAGCAAGACCGCTTCGGCTGTGTCATTACGGCTGGAGGTGTGAGAATCGTGGCTGTAGTGGCGGTGCTGCAAATATGGTGACATTCTACGTAGTGTCAATCCATTCTGGTCCTAAAACTGAAGGTATTTAAGCCTATCAATAGACCTGGCATCAATTTTACTCACCTCCAGCAAGCCTTGAGCTAAACCTTAAGTGTATCGTGCCAGATCATATTTTTGTTGAGTACTTTAGGTAATTGATGTCATTCATGAAGAACAGTAGACAATTTTAATTGGCTGATATCTGTAGCACAGTCAGCCAATCAAAATCGTTCTCGAAGGAGCAGCTCTTGGCACAGCTTGGCATTGGCTTGGTGGGCCCTAGCCACCTCACGTGTCTTAAAATCTCCGCTATAAATTTGTATACTGAAATCCCTTTGAATCACACGACACGTTGTCTTGGAACTAATTTTCACGCTTGCAGATGTCAGCTGCTCTCTCGTCCCCCCTCACATCACCTGATGATGTACGTTGTAGAGACTCGATCCTGAGTAGCCTCACAATGGCATATATTGCAACATAGGTCGAGTCTACAGTAATATGCATGCAACGCGACACTTGCACGATAAACGCGACGCTTGCGCGACGCACGCGACATAGGCGACACTTCCGCGACATAGGCGACACTTCCGCGACTTGCGCGCGCTTTAGGCGAACTTTCCCGCGCCTAAGCGCTATAGGGCGCCTGACTTCCCACTGTGTTTTCCCATGTCCAACCAAGTTCCCAGGTATGCATTTCTCCATTTATCATTTATTTCAACATCGTACCATGTTTATTTTCACTTGGTACACATTTTTCATTACACATTTTTTACTTGACACAACACACATTACCACGGACCACCATCATCATAGACAGTCACCATCTCCGAGTTTTTATTATATTTTGAATAAATCATCGCAAGCCCTAGTAGCAGTTAGCTCTAGTGGCCATATCCGCATCAGTTGTCTTATCAGCATCTCAGTACACGTCTTAACATCTCACTATCGCTCGCATACCGCTTTCACCCAGTTCCGCTTTTCGACGCGCGACTTTCCCGCGCTTCGCGCGCCTATAGCGCCTTTGTTCCCGCGCTTTCGCCTTATCACGCACTTTGCGCATTCCCCCTAGAGTTGACCAGTGGATACTTGCTTTCTCCGCTTCCCCTAAGGGACAAACATATCGCACTCATATTTTCCTCCCTTCAACAATTATATCAGCTGCACCCTCAGCTGAGTTGAAGATCCTTCAACGTACACCTTCAAGATCTCCCAGTATAATCCTTCAACCACACCTCCAATCTCTGACATCAATGGCTCTTTTTTTGGCCTCCCCTGTGAGATACACAGGCAGTCCAACCAGTGAACACAATATGGGGAGCGCAGGCAGCCCTGCGAGGCAGTATGACATAGAGACTTCAAGCAACAAATGTTTCCGCCACATGGTAGTCTGGACTCCATCTACTGCTGATAAACTGCTCACCACGTACTACATGCAGTGCTCAATGATGGTCGACTGCAGCGGTTCCGACCGAAAGTCATGTGACTCACTTTTAAAGATAGCGAAGAGTGCGCACCTCACTGTTTGTGGCGGTCGACAGGCCACTCAAGCTAGGTTCGAACAATTTATGTTGTTGTTGAAAGCATTGAGCGAAGAGTTGGAAGACTGGAAGTGGAAGGAGTTCGAGGTGGAACAGGCCTTGTGGTCATTAGAATTCCACAAAAGTGATGCCCAAGCTAACACTAGACACTATCAATGATGAACAATGAACACATTTTATTTCATATTCCTGTATTGATGTCTAACTGGCGACTTTTACATATGTATATAGTATTATTATCACATGTATCCTGCATGTACAGTAGTCCATTGGCATTTGACTTCTTGGCCTCACAGCGTCTTGTTTTCACTTGGGAAATGATGGCTGAAGCGCTGATGATCGATGATTTGAGAGCCGATTTACTACAGGTGTGTCAGAATGTGAAACAGGGGGAGCGCATTTCATCGAATCCTTGGGCTTATTTGGCAGATCAATCAATATCGACAGCATCTTCCTATGCATTGTATGCAACACTCCCCCTGAGATCCTAGCTAGCTACATTCAGCCTATACCACAAGTTAGAGTGTGTAGCCAACCCCAAATTGTTCATGCACTAACATTTTCATGCAGACCGGTGCTCCTAGAAACCAGTTACTGATGTACTCTTCCTTTTCTTTTATCCATTTACACCACTACATTAATGCCATTTTTTCAGTCTGACGCTCTCTCCCTCACTGCCAATCAATCCACTAGCGAGGACCCACCAAATGCGCAACAGAGCCTCCCTTCCTACTCTCTGCCACCTCTATCGGTTTCGCCCGTCGTCACACAGGGTCCGAATTCTGGACTGACAGACACACTGTAACCTCTCGCATACAATCTACCGACATGCAACCACATACTGATGTGTGGCAGTGGCCTGTTGACATGCAGTCGTCGCCTGATAAGTTGTAGGGGCAACATTATGAACTATGATTTCAGCCACTGCGCCAGGACACACCGCATTCCAATGGAACACCCACGTCAGATCTCCCAAGTACAACAATATCACCTGTCGTAGTGTTTCTCCTCATCACAGATATCCTCTTCCCCCAGTTACCCCTACATCCCCTGGAACTCCTTCCCTCTGCTTCCCATACGCATACAGCCTTCTCCACTTGTAACTCAGTCAAAGTTCGTTTGTCATCTTTTGTCTGTCTAAAATTAATGATTTTGCAGGTCGGGATGAAAGCATTGCAGTGTACGCTGGCGATCGACTTGTGCTAGCGAAGATGAAAAAGATCGAGGTAAGTGTCTTACCGAAGGACTGAGTCTATTACTTAGTGCACAACAGGGTGCCGCTTCATAGAGGATAAAGCGTGAACTCAGAATATGTCCCAACCTCAACCATGCAAGTATTTATGATTATATGCATGGCTTCGACCCATTTGTGGCGATAGTTAGTCCTTGGGCGGAGAATGGTAACTGGTCAGACTATTTGAAGTATGAGGTAGGTACGCTCATCATCCATACTGATTGATCCCTTCTCATGCAGGACTTTCATGCAGAGGGCGAGCATCAAGCATGCACATTCATGCTATAGCTCAACTTGCTCAGCACTCCACCCTTTGATTAATGCCGGCGGGTGGAATATTATGCTGCGCACTTGAAACCTATTCAAAGAAAACTTATCCAAGTGTTGAGTATGGACCCTGTTATGACTCTGAGCTAGCTCGGTTGCCAGACTTGCCTCGACCAACAAGTCTGAACACCTCACGGCAATCACAGGGTTCAAGGCCCCAGGATACTCCCGACATATTCGCTTCAAGGTACACTTGGACACTCCACGAGGATTATGGATGGTGGCCAAGTGAGGGAAATTGCATCCGATCCGTGCTGATGACTACCCATTAAATTTACTGTATTTACTTGGTGTTCTGTTACCCCCAATTTAAGCATGATTGTCTAAGATCCAGAACATTCTGATTGGAACATTTAAGTTAACAAGGTTCGCTGCTTTTATGAATGAAAATTTGAACTTCGGATCCGATTTGCATGCTTATTACTAGTAGCTGCCTGGACCCTATGGTAGTACAATATAAAGTATGACACGTGCAAGTACTTGTACACCCAGGATCATCACTTCCATACCATGTCACAAGATGGAACTCTTATACATCATGATAATGTTCATGGTCCTCCCCCTAATTATGATGTTTTCATGATCTCTTCCCCTGACCATCCGTTTTTTTCCCGGCACGCCTGTATGTCAAAAATATCATACTTGGAACTCATCTGACTATTTTCATACAGATTACTAAGCGGATGTTCAAGGATCTTCATCAAGTCGTTTTCAGCATAATCATCTTGCGCGCATGGACTTTAGTTCCCGCAATCTTGAAAGCTGAAGCAGGCCATCACATTAAAATTGTGGCCATCAAGAACAATCTTACTGGTAAGTTATAGGCATGTAATGACTTTCAATTATATTTATGTAATCTGATTGCATTGCATAGAGGCTCAGCAAGAAAATCCCGCGATACTATCCTTGAACTCTGAGATTGGGTCACGTGGTCCCATCCAACTTATTTCGCTGTGGAAAAAGTGTTGTTTTGGATACCTCATTCAAGCCAATTTTTTGGATCCAGTTGCTTTCAATTTCAGCGCTTTTGTCCTCAACAGGATTACACTCGCCCAACAACTGGAAACTCGGTACGAATGGCTGCATTACCATGATTCATTAACTGTGAGTACTATTTATCATTCTCATTTTTCCCGCTCGATTGAGGATTTGAACTAGGGCGAGAAGAAGCTGTTTTGAAACACACTTCCCTTGGGCTTGATGGCGGAATTTCTTTCCACCAATTATTCTGATGCTATTCGTCACGAAATTATCAGCAACTGTGCAGGCCCTCGAATCCTCAACAGTGGGCCAGGGCTCGTCAATCTCAGGTACACCCTAGCATGTGCTATTGTTATAGTGCGTATCATAGTCTTTCATTCATTCAGTAGCTTACTCAAGCGACCCTCAGCTGCAACATGCCTTCAGTGCAGACTGGAACTGGGCTAGCATCTGGGCCTTTGATCCTTTTTACAGTTCAGATCTCGCAGATGACATGGAAGCTGCCAATTTTTTCGAAGAGGTGATCTTAATGACGTCCCAGCTAGCCACTAGCTGGGACATCATTTTTCCACAAGTCAGAGAAACCATAAACCTTGCAATGTAAGTCCAAATGCTGCACTGCATTCATTGAGGTCTGATCCTACTGCAGTTGTAATGTGGATCCTCATCTTACAATGCACGCGTGATTAGCATCTTTCCTTCCATAGCTTAGTTAACGCGTAAGACCAAGATGTTTGACTTGTACCATACGATATCCAATGCTATAGCCACTCACAGGATGCTTGTCTGGTTCGGACAAATCATCCACGCATTTTTTCCTGCTCCTCCACGTCTTTCTCCGCATTGCCTGGGATAGGTGTCACCATACGGCTCAGCAACGAAGGTATCAGTTGTCGTTCCTCAGTAAATTCTGTTTGCTCGCTTGATCTGTGGTACTGTTTCTCCAGCGCTCAAGGATCATTTGGGCAACGTGACAGAGCCAGAATTGCGAGTTTGTATTGCTGGTCGAGAGTTTGACACCGCACCACTCGTGCTCATATGCGAAGGTCCTGTCATATCTGGTCTTTTCACATGGCCTCCATTGCGTCCCGAGTCAACCTCAACCCTCCATGCTGCTTCTTGCCGTGCACCTTATGCCGGCATAAAAATTGTAGCCAAGCCTGCACAGATTGTGTCCTACTCTTTGCTTGCTTGCCAGGCTTTGGCAGGTAGCTTGCGCAAACTCACTCCCAAGGTGAATTTTTATTCACCTTCTGACTGAATAAGCTATTCCACCGAAGTATTGCAGCTGCTCGAGGCATAAAGACACTCAAATTTGCTGGCACTGAGGAGGTTGTGTATGAGTGGAGCGACTAGCCTCTCGCGAAGCTCCAGGATTACTTCAAGAAGGATGTCCTCACTCTTATCGGCTATGGTTCTCAGGGCCACCGTCAAGGCTTGATGTTATCATTGATGTCTGTAAAGACGGCGAAAGTTGACATTGTAAGGCACCGACCAAATTCGTAGTTCTGATTTCACTGAGTGAAGTGCGCAGACATGTCGCCTCTCTTGTACTTCGCTTCACCTATGGTTGCAAATTGACTAAAGATTATGTCCGCCTGGCGGAAGAAATCAAATTCGACAATGGAATAGCATTTCAACCTTGATGGATAGTAGATTCCTTGCCGTTATGTTCGTCTCATATTGGTCATACTGTATTGTACTGAATTAACTTTCCCTCGCAACAGTCCCAAGTCAGTTACCAGACATGCACGCAGTGCAAGAGATGGGCATTGACTGCGAGGTTGAGATTTGAAAGATGCATCCAGGAGCCTTACATTGCAACTCGTTAAGTTGTTGTGCGGAGTATTACTACTATCACACACGACTATGCTAATCCCTATAAACGCACTGGTCAGCTCGATGGCACTGCTCCATCGTCATTTGTTGCTTGCCATTAATCTCGCTGTTTACTGCCCTTGGAAGAGCAGGTCCTCATGCACGCTGCTGGAAGTGTATATGGAGACAAGATGCTCGCATCACTCCTTCGCCATACTCTTCGCTCTGGCTCAGCTGCAACCAACACTGTAGGTGGTTTGCTGGGCTGCTCACACCTTGCTGACGCAGAGACTACGTATAACAGACATCATTAATCTTGTTCCACATAGCCTGATGGAAGATGATGAATATGAGGGCTCTCGTATTCCTCGTATGTCGTGGATCATGTGCAATGTCTGGTGAGTCTTTTTTCATTTTATTAGCCGATCCAGCTCACATATGTGAGATAGGTCCATGACCCATGACCCCAAAATATATAAAGATGCCGAACTCTTGAATCCCAATCGGCACCTTTCACTGAACAACTACCACTGTGTCCGCCATGAACATGTCATGTTCCATTCCGTCTACTGTCTCAAGCATATCTTTTTCATTCCTGACAGTGGAGGACATCAAGTAGATTCTGCACGGTATTCTTGTATGTCTTGAACAGGCCGAACATCGGTAGCCTGTATGATCATGTGCTTGGTCCCAGCGATCGTCAGGACATGTGAGTGCCTAGCTCTCGGTGGCCTTGGGACAGGTGCGCTGACGCTTGACATCTAGCTATGCAACATGTCAATTGACTCACGTGCCCAGGCCACTTCGGTCACATTGAACTCCCTGCTCCTGTGTGCTACCCTTTGTTCATGGCGAACATGTACAACGTTCTTTGTGCAACAAGTATAGATTCAAACTAGGTCGATCAGTGGTATGCACATGCCCTTCCGTTCATTCTCCTTGACTGAAGCGCTCCTTGTTAGATCTGCAAACATGTCGCCAAACTCCGCCTGTTGGAACATAGTCTCCTGTAGGCTGCACTAGATGTGGACAATATCTCACACGGCCAGTGACGATGATGAAGGCAGTCGTGACGAAACCATTTCTGAATCGGAATCCCGTGTTAACTTATTCGTTATGGTGCGTCTCAGCAAGGCTTCTGGCAGCGAGTGGGATCACTACATGGACAATCTTGTCTATCAGGACCGGACAGATCTCATTCAAGAGTTTACGAGAACAACTATCATGAAAGAATGTAGCAATGAAGGTTGTGGTGCGTGAATTAGCTGTTTTTGCTGTATGTCAAATTTTGGCTTAGCAAGATAACAGCTTCGCCTACACATTCCGCAAAGAGGGATTCACTAAAATAGCTGAATATGATATCTCCATCAAGCAAAAAAACCAGCATGGAGCTTTCAGCCTTAAAAGGCCAGATGTCCTCTTTTTCCAGCAGCAAGCTGTGAATGCTTCAAAAATTCGCTCTGAACCTTTGAATACCATGGACATAGACTCAGAATCTGACTCGGAACCTGACGAGGAGCCGACATACTCAGACGAGGAAGAGGAACTCCAAGTTACCCGTCTCTTGAAAGAGAACGGACTTCTTCGTGCTGCAAATGGTAAAGTCAAGATCACACGCGGCCACAATGAGCGTGTCATGGCACCAGAAGAATACCGTGCTCATTTGCATCTTCTTGTCCGTAACTGCCTGAGATTTGTTCCCTTGTCTTTGGCTGACATGGCCCCTTCTCTCCCCTAAATGCTGCAGGTCTGTCATTGGCATCTGTCAACATGTTCTTCATGGAAGTGATCCCTGTTCTGCCAACTCATTTAGTTCGCCTGCTACACTGGATGAAACATTGTTCGAGCACCCCCAGAATGAGTTTTTGCCCAGGGTATCGGATACGTCGTGTAGATTGCATGATTTAAATGCAGATCTGCATGCCGCTTCTGTGAAGCAATCAGGTGTTGACGGTATGACACGGCGTCATTTATTTAGTGCTTTACTCGAGGGACCCATTCATTTGCAAGCCAACGCCAATAGCCTCATGAACAGCAACAAAATCCTATGCCTGTCCACAACGGTAACCCCCCCCCCCAGTTGGTGTCAAGCAGGAGCCCAAAAAGAAGGGGGGTCTTTTTTATAAACATATGATGGTACGGAATAGTTTTTTGCTGAGTGCATATTATTTGATTTTCTTGGCAGGGTAAACGTGTCAACTATGCAGCACGATACACCATCTCACCAGATGTAAATATCGAGCCAAATGAAATCAACACCCCTTCTTGTCTTTGCAAGGAAACTCGTGAACATCTCCAATGTTGCTGCTTTGACGGATACAGAAGGCAAGCCCCACTTCAAGTACATCATTGAGGGTGCAAATCTGTTCTTCACTCAGCAGGCAAGGTTGCACTTGGAGAAATGCAGGGCCGTCATGTTTAAGGACTCCAGTGTGAACAAGGGTAAGATTAGCTTACTATTATTCATCCGTTATAAAATTGCCAACATGCTGAAATTTATACTTCTGATGTAGGTCACGGAGCTGCCAACGTCACACTGGGTATTCCTCGGTTGCGGGAGATTGTGATGACAGCTTCACAAAAGCCCAAGACACCTTCGATGACTATGGAAGTTGCGCTTGGCATGTCCCAGTTGGACATTGACATCTTTTGCAAGCAGGCTAGCAAATTGACGTTGTTTCAGCTGGTTGACAATGTGATGGTCGGAGAGTGTTTGACTGTGCAGAGCGATGCATGCCGGATCGAATTCGTTATAGCCATCGTCTTCTTCCTCACAGAAGAATACACCAATGAGTATGACATTCTGTCCCAGGAAGTTCTCGCTGTGTTTGCAGTGGTGTTCCCATTAATACTCAAGGAGATTCGGACGGAAATGAAGAACATCGACACAGATCTGAAGGGCCAGATAGCGCAGCTTGGGAAGGGAAGAGATCAAAAGAATCGGCCGCTGGTGAGGCGGAGGGTGAAGATGGCGAGGATGAGGGTGAGAGCCCAAGCCATGGTAATGATGACGATGGCCAGATTGAGCAAGGGGATGGTGACGCTGTTGACGCAAAGCGAGGCAGAAGGAGCAGACATCCTACGAGCCTGACGATGACAGTGAAAGGGACTTGCATGATGCCGCTATCGGGGCGGTTTATGTCTCAGACACAAAGGATGGTGAAGACGAAGACAACAGAATTGGTCGTCCGACGGTTATTCATGCACAAACTCAAGTCGCAGCAGACGCCTTCATGGATATCTTCCCTCAAGCAAATTCCTTCGTGTTTATGAAGTCAAAATGCTCTATTCGGCTCAAGGTTTGTGTCATTTGTACCTTGTGTTTTTTTGCCGTTACCTCATAAAGTTTCAGTTTCCTGCAGACTTCCTAAATTTTTGGTTGGGCACACTTGTTTGAAGACTATTATGCGGGAGATTCCTGGCATCACAGATTGTTTTAGTGCGGTTGTAAAGGAACGCGGAGTGGTGAAAATACGAGCACACTATTGTATGGTTCGACCTGAGCTGGGAGCAAATCTAGCTGACTACCAATGAATCCAACTTGCAGGGTATCTGGCAATTTACAGGCGCAACAGATAACAACATCATCGATCTGGATACTATCTATTCCAATGACATCTACTCCATCCTCAAGGCTTATGGCATGCAGATGGCGCGTGCTGCGATATTATGCAAGGTTGGTGGAGTATTTGATGCCTACAAGATTGATGTTGATGGGAGGCATCTGGAACTCATTGCAGATTATATGGTCAGATCTTTACTGGCTAAGCACGCAGCTCACTTACTCACGATCCTATTAACGGCCGGATATTTGAAGGCGCCTACAAGCCGTTCAACCGCAGGGGTCTCTCAAGTAACCCTTCACCCCTCCTAAAAGTGTCGTATGAGACAACTACTGCCTTCCTTTCAGACACGAAGTTGTATGGTGACTTTGACGACTTGTCCACGCCATCAGGTAATCTGGTCATGGACAAGGACAACCGAGACGACTTCATTTTTGCAAAGCCCTCTGATCTTAAGCTCCCTGTCAATCTTCACATGTACACACTATTACTTATTTTTGACTTGCCAATGGAAGAGCATTTTGAGGTGTTGTTGAATGAGACATCGTATTCCAATCCCCCCACCCACCCACACACACACACACACACACACACACACACACACACACAGGACTATGCGCGGTAAATACTGCACCAAGTACTCATCATAAAAGTAGCCGAAAGCACAAGCACACATGTTGGATTGTATGTTACCGTAGCTCATCATCCTATTTCCCACCCCTGCTCACTGTTGTCACGGGTGATAACGTGCCCAGTTAGTTAATTCCATGGTGCATCTTCACTGAACTAACAGACCTATGGTCCGACTTTGTTCTAGAATCCAAGGCTCTATCACTGCAGCCGTCATCTTAATTTTTTGCTTTGCTTTGATGGTTGAACTTTCTTGTGGCGCCCAAGGGTGCCTACAGACATTGCAAGATCAGTGTGCTCTTACTTTGCACCACAAAACATGCGTGGAATATAAGACAATGATGGTTGTTGTCTTTTAGAAACGGAAAGATCGTGCCCATACCGCAATAGCCGTGAAGGCACTCAAAGACAAGTAATCTGGCCCTCTAGTAAGGTTTATGTCACTCGGGACTTCAGATTGGATACTAACAAAGCAATTTTCAAGGGTTTCGTCGCTCCGGCAGAGAGTTCTGCAAGTAATACTAGGTCGCAGGAGCAGGCACGGCTTCCTGAAGATCTAGCTGTTGAAGAGATTGCTCCCTTGTCTTTTGCGTCTGAGTCCTCTATAGATGTTGACCCAGATACTGGCGCCACAGATGCCACCAATGCACTGGCAGGGAGTCAGGATCTTGATGTATCAATGGTGATAGGTAAGTCTGGTAACTTTATTGATTTCTTGCACCGACCGCTTTCATGTCAGATGACTCAATTTCGGGTGAATCGCGCGCTCTTCCCAGTGCCATCAATGTGAACTTGGATTGTATCGGTGAGAAATAGATCCTTGCACTTTCACATATGCTAATGTATGAAATAGCTTGCACTAAACCTCAAAGACACATCAGACTACCAAAGCGATATCGGCTCACTGAGCCTGTGGAACATGTTGTCCACAACATCGAAACCTCTACTCAGGATGTGATACAAGATACTCACTCAGTGACACATGATGTACTGCCAACTAGCAGCGTTATCCGCAGGGTAATCCTCCTAGTTACCGAATCCCTTCGCAATGTCATTGGAGCATTTGGTCTATTTCATGATTACCCACAATGCCCATCTTATGAACCTGACATTTTCATTCCCTCACGTTTACCGGCCAAAAAATTCCCAACATTACAGCCTCTTACATCAATTCCTCCACCTCCACATCCCTTTCCAAACATGACTGTGTATCAGCTGCTCAACTGGATGACCAGCGGAAGTACCAGAAAGTCTGAAGTGGAGGTTTCACGTCTGGTCCGTGACGTGTTGCTTGCAGAGGATTTCGACGCCATCAATCTGCAAGGCTTCAGTATGAGGAAGTATTTGAAACTCTTCGACATTCCAGATCAAAATTCACCAAACGCTGATGTGCCCTCTGCAGTAATATTCCAGGAAGGTTGGATAGAGATGGATGTGACAATAAAAGTCCCAGGTCGGAAGGTTGATGCTTCCGGTGGTCATCCCTTTAAAGTCCCTGGGTTTCACTATCAACCGTTGGCCAGTGCCATTCATGAGGCATTTGCAGACACTCAAGCTAAAGCATTTCATCTCTGGCTGTTTCGCCATCTTTGGACCAACCCAAATGATGGATGCACATATCGTATCTATGATGAACTTTACACGTCAGATGCGTGGATACAAGCCCACGACGACCTACAGAAGCAGTCCAAAGAGCCTGATTGTACTCTTGAGCGAGTAATTGCTGGCTTAATGTTTTCCTTGGATGCAACACAACTCACCAACTTCGGAAACGCAACGGCATGGCCATTATACTTATTTTTTGGCAATCTGTCAAAGTATGCTCGTGCAAAGCCCGGCTCTGGGGCTTGTCATTTAATCAGATTCCTGCCGTCTGTAAGTGTCATTTACGCGGATTGCTCGAAGTGATTTCACATCTGGGCGTAGCTTCCAGGTCGAATCAAAGATACTTTTCGAACCCTCAGAGTCTTTACAAAATGTGGGATAGCCACTCTCTACACCCACTGCTGGAGAGAGCTCTTCCAGGGATGTTGGGATACTCTTTTGGACGAAGAATTCCTCCATGCATACCGCCATGGTATTGTAATGAGATGCGCTGATGGTATACTTTGCCGTGTGTTTCCCCGAATATTCACATATTCTGCCGACTATCCAGAAAAGTGAGTGATCTCAAAGACGCCTGTTACACGCTGCTGTAATGTGAAAAACAGGATTCTCATTGCGACCATCAAAGACATGGGGTCTTGTCTTTGTCCGTGCTGCCTGGTAACAAAATCGGAAGCCGACCGTGTTGGATTTATGAAAGATATGTGTGGGCGAATTGAAGATCTAAGGGTTTACTGCTTACAGAAGATACAGACTGCTCGGGACATTGTATATAAGTCCGGGTATGTGGTTGATGGCATTGCGGTCGAAAAGGTCCTCTCCAGTGAGTCATGGGTTCCGACTATCGTGAGTATCTTACTCGTCCTATTTACTCTTCCTGATATATGGCATGCAGAATATCTTCGCCCAAAAACTTGGCAGCTTCGGGCTCGACCCATTTCGCATGTTGGTCGTTGATATTATGCATGAGTGTGAATTAGGGACTTGGAAGAGTCTCTTCAGTCATTTGATCCGCCTCTTATATGCACTTCCCAATGGTGCTGAAGTTGTAATCACACTCAACCAAAGGTAAGACCTCGTTATCCAAAACTCGCAGAAAGGCTTACCATACCTGCAGGTTCAGACATGTGCCCACTTTCGGCCGAGGTGTTATCCGAAGGTTCTCTGATGATACATTGAGTATGAAGAGGCTGGCTGCAAGAGACTTCGAGGATATCCTACAGGTCGTTGTTGTTTCTTACTAGAGATCATTACTGATGTTATTGCAGTGTGCTATGCCCATTTTTGAGGGACTCCTGCCAACCCCGCATGACACAATAGTGCAGACCCTACTATTCAGGTTTGCTGAATGGCACGCTTACGCAAAATTGCGGCTGCACACCGAATTAACTCTGGATTCTATGTCACAATCACTTACTTCTCTCACTGAGCAGCTTCGCAAGTTTTGTTGTCAGGTCTGTGATAACTATGATACTACTGAACTTCCGAAGGAAAGGGCTGCATGGTATCAACGCGAAGCACTTAAAGAAAACCAGACTACTGACGCACCATCATCATCTCCAAAGAAGAAATCGTTTAATATGAGAACTTATAAGTTCCACGCTCTTGGAAATTATGTTCAGTGTATCAAATTATTTGGAACGACCGATTCTTTCACGATGCAAATAGTAGGCGCCAGTTGGTTATCAGTTTGAGTTTCTAAATTCAATGTAGATTATAGGGTGAACTCGCTCATCAGGCGATCAAGGCGCTTTACCCATTCACCAATAAACAGAATACCGTCAAGCAGCTCTCAAAGCATGAACGATGTAAGGCTGAGTGTGAGTTTGATCGGGAATTGTGAACAAAACGGGGTAAGAACCAAACAGGAGGAGAGGTGAACTAGACGTGGTGTAACACGTGAACTGATGCTTTTAGAGGTTTTTCTGGTCGTACTTGGAGCGGGGTTCTGACTATTGATTTCGCTGTAGGTATCAGTGTACATGGGCACTATATATACGTTTTGAATACTTGGATTAAGCCAGATGCGGCGTGAAAATGCTCAATAGTGAAGTGAAAATACTCGAATGTAGGAACAGGAGTGGTGTGATATGAGGGGTAAGAAAGGCACTGAAAGGTAAAATGACAAAGAAGAGAATGTATCCGCGTGACTCGGATGCGATGAGTAACACTCTTCGCATCAGTGACTCACGCAGAAGACTCCGAACATGTAGTTCGTACATCTTGTTTTTGGAGAGCGGTCGGTGCATAAAGGACACCCAGTCCTTACATCACCTCCCTACTTCGAATATCGACCATCCTTGGTCGATCCTCTAACTAAAAAAATTTGTATCGTGCTTGAATTGGTCAAAGAGAGCAAGTATTCAAATATCAAAATGAAACAACGGCAAAACGGAAAGGAAAGAAGGGAGATGCATCTAGTTTTTGTCTGGAAGGGTACCCGCAAGGTTCTCGATATGAAGGTATTGCGTGACGTTGAGAGAGGTCGGGGATCAAGGAAGGTAAGGAATGAGACAGAAAGCAGCAAACTTGAGTTTGGAGACTGAGCCGTCTACCTCTGCCAGACGGTAAGAGCCTCCTTGAGAGCGCAAGAGTACAATCATGGGTCCAAAGTAGCGAGGCTTGCATTTAGTGTTGGATGCTGCTTCGATCTTTTTATTCAGTACAAGGACGAGAGAGCCGGGGGTGAAATCATAGTCGTGGATGGTGTTAGCAAAACGTTTCTCGAAGTCACAGATGGATGCGTAGCGGCTTTTGAGCACACGGTCATGAATTTCGGCTAAGTCTTCTTCCTGTTTGGCTAGTTGGCGAGCGCGCATGGCTAACAGGTCCTTAGTTGAGAGGAGAGTTGGAATGTCAGGAAGAAGGAATGTAGCTTCGGTGATGTCGAAGGGTAGAAGGGGCTCGGTACCGTGTGCCATGAAGAACGGAGTGTGTCCCGTGGCTCTTCGGGTTGTGATACGATCAGCCCAGAAGACTTGGTGAGTGAAGGTGGGCCAGGATGTGATATCGCTGTTGCAGGTTTTGACGAGGGAGTCGCGGATAGTCCTGTGAGAGCGTTCGACGATGCCATTTGCCTTGGAGTTGTATGCTGATATACGAATGTGCCAGATACCATACTTGGCTGATAGCCAGTCTACAGCTGCTACGAAGGGCATACCATTGTCCGTGATGATTTCTTCAACTCCCCCCATCTGCATAGGATGTCCTCGAACAAAAATGCTCCCAGTGTTCTCCCTGTTTCCTTAACATTCGAAACTCTGGCCAATTCGATAACGAGCATCGCGCTTGGACGATGTAGGTGAAACCGTGTGAGGCACTTCAGTCAACCACTTGAAATGACCTCTTAGGTCTATGTGTTTGTGGCTAGCAAAGGACCTAGTGGGTGTGTTCTAGGATGGTATTCCCAGTATTTTACCCCATGTACTGGGATGTCCCGGTCCATACTGAAGCAAGTATCTGGGCCATCCCAAGGACCTATTTTTGATCTTTCCCAATCCCAACTGGGATCACTCTAGCATGTCTCTGGGATGTCCCAGGGCATTTATCAGGAGGGCTTTCCCATCATAAATAGGGGTGATAGGGGTCCTTTTTCAGACATTTTGACGGCATAAAAATTCACGATTTGTACATCCATAGAAGGAGTAGTACTAGGTATGCAAGGCCAGTATATGCACTTGAGACAAGATTTGATATGGGACAAAAACCTGCAGGATTTTTGGCTTGAAACAGCGTCCTAAACGTAAGAGAAGTCTAACTGAGTGCAGCACTAGTCATTGAGTAATGAGGTTGTCTTGCGAGCAACATGCAATAAAATGTGGGAGCTTTACTTGCGAGTCTGTTAGAAGACAAAGAGGGGGGTGGCACAGACTTGGATATGCAATAAAATGTGAGAGCTTTACTTGCGAGTCTGTCATAAGATGACAGGGGGGGTGCACGGAAGGGGGGGTGGCAAAGATAATATGCAATAAAATGTGGGAGCTTTATTTGCGAGTCTGTCATAAGACGACGGGGGGTGTGCAACAAAGGGGGGGTGGCATTAGATAATATGCAATAAAGTGTGGGAGCTTTACTTGCGAGTCTGTTAGAAGACAAAGCGGGGGGGTGGCACAGACTCAGATATGCAATAACATGTGGGAGCTTTACTTGCGAGTTTGTTAGAAGACAAGGCGGGGGGGGGTGGCGCAGACTCAGATATGCAATAAAATGTGGGAGCTTTACTTGCGAGTCTGTTAGAAGACAAGGCGGGGGGGTGGCACAGACTCAGATACGCAATAACATGTGGGAGCTTTACTTGCGAGTCTGTTAGAAGACAAAGCGGGGGGGGGGGGGTGTGCAAGGAAGGGGGGTGGCAAAGATAATATGCAATAAAATGTGGGAGCTTTACTTGCGAGTTTGTCATAAGACGACGGGGGGGTGTGCAAGGAAGGGGGGGTGGCAAAGATAATATGCAATAGTGGGAGCTTTACTTGCGAGTCTGTTAGAAGACAAAGCGGGGGGGTGTGCAAGGAAGGGGGGTGGCAAAGATAATATGCAAAAAAATGTGGGAGCTTTACTTGCGAGTCTAACATAAGACGACAGGGGGGTGTGCAAGGAAGGGGGGGTGGCATTAGATAATATGCAATACAATGTGGGAGCTTTACTTGCGAGTCTGTCATAAGACGACGGGGGGGTGGGGTGTGCAAGGAAGGGGGGGTGGCAAAGATAATATGCAATAAAATGTGGGAGCTTTACTTATCTCATGTCTGCTGAGTGTCGTAAGGGGTGATAATGCGGAATCGCTTATTCTTTGCTTGCAATATGGTAGCAATATGGAAAATGGTTTGGCACTGTCCAAGGTTCTTCCGGCTATTTCTATGTTACTGTTCCTGGCTGGGAATGTTGATAAAATGATAAGCCATCCTCTCATTCGTGACGGGGTGTTGCATATTCGACTCGAGTAGGCCATCATATACAGCTTGAGAGATGAAGTTTCCAATTTGAGGAGGCATCCTGTATTGTGTGTTCAGGAAGAGGGCATGGTCCTTGAGATGCTTGACCTCGAAGATGCTCTTCAGGTCGTGGATATCATCCTGACCATAGTGTGGCAATTGTTTGTCATCGCCAATGAAGCAAATCTTTCTAATGGAGGTATGAGAGGTGAAGAGAGGAATGTAGGCGCCAATCTCAATTTGGGATGCTATCTAGAGGGGGGGGGATAGATAAATCTGACTAGCTAATGGCACTGTTCGGGCTCTCCCGCCTACCTCTCTAGTACTATCTGGGCCTTCCCGCCCACCCCATACACATCATCGGGGCTCTCCCGCCTGCCATTCAATTAGCAACTGGGCTCTCCCACCGACCATATACGCATCCTCTGGGCTCTCCCGCCTACTGTTCAATCAGCAACCGGGCCTTCCCGCCAACCCTACCAACACCATTTGGGCTCTCCCGCCGACCATATACGCATCCTCTGGGCTCTCCCGCCTACCATTCAATCAGCAACCGGGCCTTCCCGCCAACCCTACCAACATCATTTGGGCTCTCCCGCCGACCATATACGCATCTTCTGGGCTCTCCCGCCTACCATTCGATCAGCAACTGGGCCTTCCCGCCAACCCTACCAACACCATTTGGGCTCTCCCGCCGACCATATATGCATCCTCTGGGCTCTCCCGCCTACTGTTCAATCAGCAACCGGGCCTTCCCGCCAACCCTACCAACACCATTTGGGCTCTCCCGCCGACCATATACACATCCTCTGGGCTCTCCCGCCTACCGTTCAATCAGCAACCGGGCCTTCCCGCCAACCCTACCAACACCATTTGGGCTCTCCCACCGACCATATACGCATACTCTGGGCTCTCCCACCTACCGTTCGATCAGCAACCGGGCCTTCCCGCCAACCCTACCAACACCATTTGGGCTCTCCCACCGACCATATACACATCCTCTGGGCTCTCCCACCTACCGTTCGATCAGCAACCGGGCCTTCCCGCCAACCCTACCAACACCATTTGGGCTCTCCCACCGACCATATATGCATCATCTGGGCTCTTCCACCTACCGTTCGATCAGCAACCGGGCCTTCCCACTGATCCTACCAACACCATTTGTTGAAGTGCCTTGGAAGCCGGAAATATTGCAAGTGAGGGTAAATTGACCAGCTCCTTGCACTGCGGCTCTGTGCAACACACAGGCAAGTTCTTTCCAATTAACTTGGAAAATTTTCAGGTGCTCTTGCAACCCCTCAATCAAACTCAAGTGGGGTCCCTTGCGAGGCGCCTTTGGAAATTTCTGACCATAATGGTCAAATCACGTGATATGCACATTCTCGACCTCTCTGATATCAAGTACCAATTACATTTTCCTCATCAGATTTAGATTGTGCAGCACACCTAGAGTACTACAAATTAAATCTAACACGTTTTGTTGGGCTATCTATCAATGATTCATGAATTACATAGTCACCCTCGATGTCATGTTCCTCTTGCCCTCTATACTGATCCGCTAATGCAATATCTTCTAAAACATCCATAAGCTCCTCATCACCACAGCCAATATCAGATTCCCAGTCATCTCCATCATCCGATACATGATCTTCGTCATCAGGGTCATCAGGGTACACCACAGGTGTCCCATTAGCAAGTTCGGTTTGAGACGGCCCCCAGCAGTCAGGCATAGGCCATGCACATGGAATGGGACGAACCTTCGTCTGCCACCCCAGTACAAGGACAATGAATTGTCGAGCACGGCAATTCATGTGATAGAGGATCGCTTCATCATCTTCTTCGAAAGTCAGCATGGAATATTAGTGAGGTGCGTCCAAAACTCACTTGCATGTGCACGCGCCCTCTGTAGACCATCCCACTCACGCATGGCCCACTCTTGCAGAGCACAGCGCTCTACCTTCACACGAGACTCTTCTTCGTTGCATCGGTCAATCTCAAGCAGCAGTCTGATCGCAGCACGTGTGACCTCATCAGCTAGCCAATCAGGGGGTTCCGGCACGACATCGTCAAGTCCAATGTCCTCCCAAATATCAGCATCAATATCAAGATCAAAAATACCGGTAGGAGAGATGGGGTTGGGTGGTATAGCATTCGGAGGACTGCGGCGTTGTCTGATAAGAGCACTAAGATCAGCACATAAGTTATTATATGTGGACACGAGCTTTCGTATCGTAGGATTGCGCCGCTGGATTGCAGCATCGACATGGGAATTAAGCTTGCGCTCTGTGACAAAAAAATGCAGTCAGTTGAGGTCCTCATGTACAAGTTAGAACATAAGTACCGTTTACAGCTTGCCTGTAAGAGCGTTCAAGCTTCTCAATTTCGAACTTGCGCTGTCGAAGTCGTTCGCGGATACGCGTTTTAAGAGCTTGAGCGTCTAAACGGACTTGTAGATATATGTTGCGACGTAGTTGTTCTAGACGGGTGCGCTGACTGATGCCAAGTCTTGTCTTCCAGCGGCTCAAAGTGTCTGCGACTCTTGATCGGTGAGCGCGCTCTTCAATGAGACGAAGATTGTAGTCAGTGAGATTGTCAACATTTCCCATACAAAGTTGCGTTTCCATGCGTCGCAACGCTCCATCAATCTCAATAAGAGATTTCTCAAGGGAGAGAATTTTTGAGATTTCCTCGTCATTATTTGTCTTCGATCTTCCTGTCGAGTTCACGTGCATGAATATTGTAATTGTACATCACGAACGGTAGCACTTACGAGGCAGGGGTTTCGTCTGATATTCAACTTGCGATTGCCATTCCTGGCGTACACAGATCTCATCGACTGAAAGCTCACGTAGAGCCTGCGTTGCAGTACTCTTCTTCTTGATGCAGTTATTCCACCTCCGGATCAACCAGTTGCCATATAAACTAAGGTTCTTCTCATCGAGGTGCCGGACTTGAGTGTTGAGGACAAAAAGTCGCTGATGAAACTGAAAAAGCGGTCAGTAAGAAGCAAACATGTAAAGTATAGTCAGAGGTGAATGAATAATACGACCATGGCAAGTATGGTCATAAGCGGCTATAGCTCGTATGCAATCATTTTCGAAACAGAGACACTCACCCCAGAAACGCGTAGCGGAGCAATGAGATGTTTCAGTGCACTCCATAAACGCTCGCAACCTTCTCCATCCGAAAGGCCAAAGCCTTCACATTTGCGAGGATGGTATATAATTTGACATGCCCATTGGTGGCCGTAGGCGTGAAAGACTGATATCGCGAAAGTTATACGGCGAAGAACCGCATCATCGAGGAGTCGGTACTTGAGACAACTTCGATGAAGCTGACAGCCAATGTCATACAACAGGCCAACGGTCATATCGGTAGGGAGATTATCGAAAAGTTTCTGGATGAGGGCGAGAGCATAGTGTTGCTTTTCTCCCGCCGACGTCATGTTGGCGAGCCATAATACACGATCGTGCCGACATAGCATGGCCATCACGCCTGTATCTGCAAAAAATTGGGTACTAGCCTTTTCACGTTTCTCATCAGCGGCAAGAAAAGAATCACCGCAGCCATCTAGCACAGACGTCGGGACTCGCATGCCATCCTCGTAGTCATCCCCCTCCTCTTCTGTGGCTGCAGGTCGCTTTCTCTTGCGACCCCCGATCAAGGGGTCTGCCGCGACAACTCCGCACATGAACCTCCATCGATGTCACCTCATCGTCCGAAAGGAAAACCGATCTGACTGGGTTTGGGGGATCTGGCCCTCCACCGCGTTGGTCCGATGAACGTTTTTGAGTGAAGCATGCGTCAATACAAGTATGGACGTCAGGTCTATCATATACTTTAGAATTGTTTTAGTTGCTAATATTGAAACAACTTACTTGAGATTAAGAGTTCTACTTTTTCGCCAATCATCCAAGCCAAAACAAATCGGACAACGAGACCTTAGATAGTCACTTGGACGTGTTAGTCCCTCAGTTGACGGCGGTGGAAGTGGGCGATGAGTTCCAATGACATTGGACAGGTGATCATCAGCACTCATGAAGAGTACAGAGTACCAATGATAGGCGTTACCAAACCGACGACGAAGATTATCCTATAAAAATATTGATACTTCAAAACTCAGTATAGGCACTTGACTCACCTTGGTGGTAAGGTGATACCCGCGGCCAGCCAGAAAGACTTCGAGTGTTTCGCACCAAGCAGTTGTGTTGGGAGTGGTATGTACGAACAAGGTTTTGACAAGTTCCAGCAACTGAAGGTCGACAGCGAGGGAAGGAGCGATGGGAGCGCAGGCAAAGTAACCGCGAGACAGGAGCTGAAGGGGAGCAGGCGCGCAAGTGCAGCACTCAATTCGTAATATCTCGATATCTACGATATTATCAGACAACTAATAACTCAGGTAATAAGAGAGACATACGATTGAAGAGTATGCAAGTGATATCGAGAACCCTCCGTCGACAAGACGATTTGCACTGAAAGGTAGCAACTCCATCTGGCTGCAGTTCAATTCGATCGCGAAGAGAAGTCGATTTGCGCAAGTATGTAAGGTATGGAGCGATCAAGGAAGGAATGACTTCGTTTGTCCAGCGTCGCCACTGATTCATCTTCTTTTGGCGGCCCTTCGAGGGGGAAGGTAGGATTGAATCACCATCGGAGACGTAGTGTAGTGAGCTGTAGAAAGACGAGTGTTCTTCACGCTCTGAAGTATTCCCAGCGGATGGACTATCATGCTGGTTAGCAGTATCGGCATCGCGCAAAGGCTGTTGCTGCTGTGACCTTCCTGGATTATTGAGTGATTGTTGGGTGAGGCGTTTTCTTCCGGGAAGTACGAGTAGTGGGGGGGCTATAGGAAGATGAAACTTGCTGCTTTGCTGCGGTCGCCGCCTCCTCGTCACCATTGAAGAAGTGATGAGTTCGTGCTGCGTATTGTGAGAGGGTGGAGTGGACGGCCCAGCGATAGGGTTGGATGAGACCATAACGAGATATTGAGAGCCAAGCACGAAGCCCGCGTTAAGGTTGGTGTCAACACGAAGGCAAGCACGAAGCCCGCACTAAGGTCAGTGTCAACCCGAAGTCGACTAGGAGATAGTCGAAGGCAAGCACGAAGCCCGCACCAAGGTCAACGTCGACACGAAGTCAACTACTAGGAGGGACTCGAAGTCCCAAACTTGCGTCGAATACACAGACGAAAAAGTGGTCGAATACGTCGATCAACCTTTGGAGCAAATGAGGGCTAGCAAATGTGAAGGAAGGAACTCTACCTGTTTGTGTACACTCTGCTCTGTGAAACTGAAATATTAGCGGTATGCGGAAAATAAACGTTGATATCTAAGATAACCTGTTCAACCATGACAAAATCCCATGTGATTGCAACAGCAATGGGTAACACAAGGTGGTATACAAATTATTGACTATTGGGGGTATATGTGAATTAAATTCGTAAGATGACAATGATTGCGATGGGAAAAGAGCACACAGCATCTAGATCTAGGCGACCGAATACAGTAAGTGAGGAACGACAGGTGGACGACCAGTATTGTCGAAATAAGACTGAACGTAAAAGAGACAACATTCCTTCATCCCCTTCCATATGTTGTGCTCACGTCCGGTAGCATCAAAAGGTTGTTTGAGGGACTCGGGAAAGTGCTCCCACGCTGACAACACCTTGCGGAAACTTTCGAAATATGGTAAAGCGGCGTCGAAAGATGGCGCATTGAGTCCGTCGTTCTCTTGAGGTAAGTCCCTGTTCCAAACTTTCAACGACTTCGACGGGAAGATGCTACGAAGAAGCTCCATCCTTTCCTTCCTCGCCTCCTTGTCCTTACGTGCATCGCGCCCAAGATGCTCATCCAGGTCCAGAAGCTCATATCGAAAACTTTGCTCACAGATTTCATATACGATTTGGCGTGCGAGATCTGCGGGGGGATTGTCGAGCGTGGAAATGGCTATATCCTTTCCACGCCAGTGAACATTTGTGGGTCCTGCCCACAAGGCCCGCAGTACCGGAACTTCCTTTTGGAAAAGTAAAGCAGTCGCTGCTTTCGACTTGCTGGTCTTGCCGGACGTCCGCGTGTTCGAAGGTTCCTGAGCGTGCTGAGATATCAAGAAATCGCGCCAGTTCTGGGCGCGAGGAAGAGGTCGAGGCCTTTCGTCATAGACACGTTCTATCCAGGTAGGGCGGCATGCCAGCCAGTTGGCAAGGTACTTCACCAAGGATTGCGGGGAAAGAACGTTAACGAATAAACCTGGATCGGGAAGCGAGTACCCATCATCCATTTTGTCTCTGGGATGCTTGATGCAAATAATATCTTTGTTTGCGTCCTCCAACGCTATCTTGAAGAAAGAGTTCATTGGCGGCATATAAGGGTGATCTATATCAGACCACTTGTCACGGCCAGATACAGCTTTATTCTGACGCGGAGCGGTTGCATTGTCTGAGGAATTAATTAGTCACAACAACCATGAAAGAAGAATGCTGAACTTACACGGCGCAGGCTTGGCACTCATTTTGGCCTTCCCTTTGTCTACGCGCGCCCTTCCTACCAATGACTCCCTCGTTACCATCTGTTCCACTTGGGGTTTTGGAACCGGTAGCTTTCTCAAAGTTGGAATACGGCTGACGAGCGGCCTCATGACGCTTGCGATTATTGGGACCCTCTGTTGATGATGTCGAATGGTTGGGCGAAGAGTTTGACGGGATCATGATACATGCCGATGACGAGGTCATCGGGTGGTGTGAAGGAAACGACTTTGACGATGTTCATGTTGGCATTGACAAGTCTGGCATCGCGAATAAGCCAGACAGGAACTCCAGCAGCGTGCACCTTCGTAGCGATAGCGACATCTTCGGTGAAACAAACCCATCCATTTGGGGTTAACCTTGTGCGTAGTGTCGACGAATCGCATGCGAGGCTCGATAATTTCGTAATAGTCTATAACCGCCCAGATATCGAGAAACCGGCGCTGATATTCAGCAACGATTATGACGATGTCGCGCCAGGCCATGGCTTGCTGGAAGCGCTCGTAGACAGCGCGCATTGCATGCGCCCACCCAACTACATGATCCTCCTTGTGGGACCTTGCAACCTTGTAATTGCTAACCCGCGTATTGGCCTTCTCGTACAAGCGCTTGAGATGGCCGACAATGTCGGTCTTGAGTTGACCAAAAGGATTGCCGGGAGAAATGGGCGTGAAGTCACTTGCGAAAGTTGGTCTGAACCATGGCGTACATCATGCTTGAGGTCGGTCCGCATAGGCTTCCTGGCGTGGGATTGCAAAACTTCGAGCGTATAAGTCGTCATACATCTGCGGCCACTGGAAGGGATCCAGGGCCCAATATCTACCATCTGCGCTGCGCTTGAATGATGTCGGATTCGTTGTCGAAGGGTTGGGGAATGAATTTCATGTTGGGAGTTGTGATTACTCGGTGGCCATATGTAGCCACACAGAAAGCATCAGTGGCAGTCAGGTAACCTGGATATCGTCAATCAAGAGTAGTAGAGGTACGAAGATGCCAAAACGTACGGTCACCATCGCGCATGAATGGCTTGAAGACAGGAATCGACATGGTTGTAGCTCCAGGAACCGTGATATCGAGAACGGGGAAAGATACAGCGACTCGCAGTCACTGAGGAAGGAAATTTAAACGAAACAGCGACTCGAAGTCACTGCCGATTAAAATGCTACCACGAAGGCAGATAGCGAGAGAGTGTGTCTTGAAAGATTCCAGGAGAAATCTGACGAAGGCGTGGTGTCAGTGATGATAGCATGAATCAGTGTAATGAACGAACTTACTGTAAAGGGCGACAGGAGTCTTGAGCGAGTCTGGTTAAAGACCTAATGTAGTCATAATAGCGTGACGAATAACGAATGTACTTACCTATGAAGTCTAAGACCCACGAAGGCAGTAAGAGTCTTGAAAGATGGGAGAGATCTGGTGAGGGGCGTGATGTTAGTAATAATAGCATAAATCAAGGCGGGTCGTAGCACGATACTGAGCTGGTGGATGACAAGACTGCCGACCGAAGTCTAAGCAATCGATAGTAGCAAACAACACGAAGTTGCTGCTCAAAGGACGCCCACCACGAAGGTAGACTGTAGAGGCTGGGGAATAGGCTGGGGAATGTGAGCCGCCGCGATGAGGAGTGGCGTTGAGGATGAGGAAAAGCGTTCAAAATGGACTTCACACTTGATTCAGTGTGGGAAAGCCCTTACCTAGAGTGGGAAAGCCCAGACCAAAGCCTGGGAAAGCCCTTCTGATTTCGACCAATTTAGTAATCTCATCAATGTTTGGCCCCGTTTCCACTCATCGTCTGCCCTCTGCCCTCATCGTTTGCCCCCATCTTCAACCTCTGGCCTCATCGCATGGTCTGCCTTCGAGGCAGACAAGTTCTGCCTGTATGACTTCGTGTCATCCAGCGCTATCTGGCCGTCTGACTACGAGTCAGATTACGGTCTACCTACCTCAACACCTCGCCCACATCCATCCTCTACAAATGTATGTGTCCATTTAACTCTATTCTAATTGATTACACGCAGATTTTTCAACGACATCCTCATCTCCCACCCTTGTCTCCACCGCATCGACTGGCCTGATCGCATGGTTCTGCCTTCGAGGCAGACACGCTTTGGGCTGGGTGACTTCGCGTCATCCAGCACTGTCTGGCTGTCTGACTACGAGTCGGATGCCTCAACACTGCGCCACTATCTATTCGTTCTCTGCGCAAGCGCATGTCCAGCAACTCAATTCTATTTCATCGTCTGCGGGAATTTTGAACGCTCAACATCTTTGTATTCCAACTACCGATCGGTACCGTCCTCCCCCATCTTACAATTATACAATCGTTTCATTCTACTTACAACAGATAATCAAAGTTTGGGGTATGCAAAATATGGTAGGGACACTGGCGCGTATAATTGTAAGCATTCTTTTCTCGACACGCTGGAGGAGATTTTTGATGATGACCATGGCATCATCAGTACCGCCAGTAGCCTGGACTCTTACGCGCGGAGAAGCTCATATTCGCCCCATCACCCATTTGGACCCTCATTTTCGTAAGTTTCGAAGCTTTTTAATGTGGGCCATCCCCAATAAGTTAGTATACGATCCTTTGCGGTGAATATTCCATTTTTCTAACAATGTTCTTTCAATGTACCTCTGTTCGTTTCGGTGTCGATTGGGCGGGATTACAACTTTGGAATATTATTTCTTGATGTGTATTGGGCGCCTTACCATTAGTTAAAACCCGCAATGTTCGTGTTTTTTAAACAAGAATCTTTCTTCTTTTGACTCGCAACCATTAGTTTTCTGTACTCTTCTATCGTCCTGTCAGACTTCGAGTCTTGAAATCTAGCTGTAAGACTTCGTGTTTCACAAGCTGCCCTGCTTCAACATTCGTGTAAAGCACCCCTTTTCTCAGTATCAAGCCCGCCTACGTTTCAATGGCACCGTCTACCAGAAATGCAGCCCGTCGTGGTGCTACCGGTACTGGCACTCATGACCCCACAGTGTCTGGCACCTATGTCATGCGCACACGCAGTGGTGTTGCCATCAACCCCCCCGCCAAAACAAAATAATAAGCGCCAAAGAAATGCTGTCCCCGAGTCATCTCCTGCTCCGGATGACCCTCACCGGCCAAAACCTCGTCCTTTACCCCGACGTTCCTCGGGTACGACCTTTGAGGACTATGCTCGAATCCTTGCTCGCCCTCGCAAACAACACTTAAAACCCACAGCGGACTCCGTCTCTTCTGGAATGGAGTTGCAAAGCGACCATCCCCCAGGTAATGACTTACGGCATTCACAACAATAACTATACTAACCCCTTTCATAGATACACCTGACAATCGACGATGACGTACCCGTTACGGACACTCGCATGGATGATGATATGAACGGCGGTAGCGACAATGATGCCGATGATGATATGACCAATGAAGACCGTGAACACAGCCAGGCTACGAAGATGAGGATGAGGATAATGATGGCTCCGTACGTGGAAAGACTTCAGGTATATTATTTTTCATTTAGTATATCGTTGGGAAGGCTGACGGTTGTCACCGTGAAAGACAACGTAGAAGGGGATAGCGACAAACGACGCCAAGGATGGCGATGAAGAGCCTGAGGGTGGCGATGAAGAGCTTGAGGGGTGGCGATGAAGAGCCTGAGGGTGGCGAAAAATACAAGGACTTCGAGACTTCACAAGGTATGTACTATCTTACTTTTCTCTTAGTGGGGAGGGCTGATGTCATCTGTTGTACGCAGCCAGGGAGACTTCGGCCTCGAAGGGTCAAGAAGGGCAGCTACAATTTACATTTCGATGATGGTTCTCAAAGCTCTTCATCGGATACCAGCTACCGTGAAGGCCCCGCAACATCTGATCAAGATTCCGCCCATGAGTCAGATGCAAACAAAGACCTCGACCCCAACCACAACAGCCCGTCTTCACCGCCTGCTAAGCGCAGGAAAAGGTCTTCAGCGATCGAAACTACCTTGGCCAACACTTCCCAAAAAACATCTCACTCGACAACCGTTCGCAAGAAGCATGCAGCTATTTCACATGGTGGCAACCCCACTCCAGCCAGTATAGTCCTTTGGCCCGACGCCGGACATTGACAACAGTGAGAATGAAGACGAACCCTCAGGTCATTTAAAGCGTGGACGGCTATGTCAGGAGGGCATCGATGAGGGCTCAGGAACTTGGACAGAAAACAGCAGAAGAAGCTCGGGTGATTGGCGCCAAGTATGGCAAGTCCGCGCGCGCTATTCTCATTGAGGCTGGGTCTGTCCATCAAGCATTCACGATCAGAGTCCTGATTGGAATGCCCACCAAACGCTGGTTCATGGATAATAACCCCCGCAAGGACAAAGAATGTCAGTCCCCCCCATTCTGTGGTGTATATGATGCTAACTCGAGAGTCTCAGCTATCATCGACTGGAAAGAACGTCAACGCAAACATTATCATGCGATGGGCAAGGATGACGAAGAGTGGGACATCATTCGCAACTATAACGTTACTGGCGGCAAATACCAATCAATCACGCGGCCAAGACCATTTTGTCAATGAGGGGAGGATATTGCAAGAAAGGTACTCTACTTCATTAGCGCATTCTAAATTACGACTAATGACTCAATACAGTTGTCTGCTTATTCTCGCCTTGAAGGAGTCGAGGCCATCGGCTGTATATTTGATACAACACAAGACGAGGCTGCTCGACAGGCCATCGGCTTTGTCGCGGGCTCCGACCTCATAGTCAAGTTGATCAATGAGCAATCAACTGGATGCTCGCGCAATATTAGATTGGGTCGTGACTGCAACGAAGTACGTCTTATTATTCTGGACTTTTCCTACCTCCTGATATATTCACAGAGCGAAAGGCTACAATATATCCGTGCCGCAGTTCATGGGGGGGAGTAGGGGCTTACGAGATTCTACTTTCAAAGCCAAACGAGGCTCCCCGCGACCGTTACAGGAGGATATGGCCAATTATGGTACTCGAGCACACTTGTGAGTACTCAAGTTTGTCCAAATTCAACGATTCATTGGATTCTGCTCAAATAGCGAAGTTTGGGTATCAACCCAAAGCAGTCCAGTGGCGGAAGCTTCTTGACTATGCTTTCCAGTACAAGTTCATGATTAAGAACTGGCCTGAAGACGTCCTTCCTATCGGTCCCGAATTCAATCCTCACAACCTAAGTTCTCAGCACCTCAAGCTACTTGTCGTTCCTTTCATCAAGCGCAAAGCGCATTCTTATTATGAGGCAGAGCTCCGCACTGAAGCTGAGAGCTTGTTAGAGCTAGAGAAAAAGTCGAAGGGCAAGCGCCGAGGTCAGGGGCGCACTGTGGAAGACGTCATGAGTGAATTAGATGTCGATGTACCCGAGATCGAGTTCGCAGCTTGGCCAGATGGTATGTCATTTCCACGTTATCATTATACCTTTGTTTTCTGATGTCGATTGTGCAAGAATGTATCAAGCAGCTCAATGACGAGGTGCCGGAGATGTTCGACATTCCCTTGGTGACCAGTGCCTTGGATGTTGTGCTACGCAAGCTAGTAGACTCCGCCAAATTTAAGGCGTCTGTCCCTGAAGATATATTGGCAGCTCATGAAGCACATCCGGATGGTCAGACTCCCTCTACTCACGACACGCTGCCAAGTGATCATGAATCTCCTGTCACTCCGAGCCCCCCGACCTTGCCATCAAACCAACGTCACCCTACCAATTTCACAGCAGTACATCGCCGCGAGGACACTCATCTTCCTCAGTCCCAAATGTGTTTGATCGTGAATCTCGCCCTGTTCTGCCTACAAGCAGAGATGAACCTGTCGGTGGTGGAAGACGACAGGCTAGCCTGCCGTTCAAGGCGAAGAAACCTTTACGGGTAAGTGCTACGCTATTCCGTCAAGACTCAATGTTGATCTTCTTCAGGTTGACCCTACATTCATGCGCCGCATGGAGGAGCGTCCCGCTGACTCTCGTAATGATGCAGACTTGGAGTATGTCTTACCTTTCCACGACTTCCAACATATATTAATTTAATTGCTTAGGCTTGCGCCCTACCCAGGCCCTCGTCGTGAGGACAGAGATTTCGTTGCCCCAAACCGCCGCCGTGAATATTCTCGTTCACCTCCTGTATACCCTCAGCGAGATCCATCTCGCTCAAGGTACTATCGGCCCACCTACAGGCAACGCGAGACTTTCCTGTCGCTTAGCGATGATGGTTCTTATCCTGGACGTCCTGCTCACTCACGCCGGCAAAATCATGCTGATGATTTCAATCAGAGGTTCCAAGTAAGGAGAGCTGGTGACTCTCATTATGAAGACGGGCCTTCGCGGTTTCGCTACTAACATGGGCAAGAATTGTGCTGTCCACTCATTCATATTGACTTTGCTTGCCTTTGGTTGTTCATATTAGCGCCTCACGTTTTTGTACTTCGGGTACCTCTAGCTGTTGTACTTCGTGTACCTCTCACTGTTGTACTTCGGGTACCTCATCACTTCAGTTGTCTCTTGCGGGGATGAAGCTTTCACATGTAATGTTAGTACTCCCATGTGTCGGAACAAGACAGGTCATGTCTGTCTCCCTTTTGTTGACGATCTGTAATGCAATCATATGTGTACCAACGGCCCAAAACGTGTGAAATTAAGTTTGCGCACTATATCTGTGAGAAGGTTTGGTGACAACGACGAATGGCAACATAATTTATCATCACATGCAAGAGGATTGAATCGACCTCCACGGATTTTTCTGCTGAAGAAAAAAAACAAATATTAAAATGCACGTTGGCAGGTTCGAACTCACATAAACATGCTATGCAGGCATACACACTCTAACCGTTACACCACAAGTCCTTATATCTTTAGGGTGTCAAATTGTATATGGCTGCTGAATGCTGCTCATCTCATCAAAACTTTGCAAAGTCTTTTGCCCGTCATCCTATTCAGTCTACCACACTAGCAATTATGTAGACATGTACTTTGCACACAATATTGCTTTTTGTAGATTTCAATTTCTATATTCAGATGGATTTGTGTTCATTGTGCTCAGGTAAATGGAAATATGTGCACTTTGGGTTGAATACAAATACTGAAATGCATGTGATTTGAACATACTCCGAAGTCTACAAGAGCTGATCAAGGCCAGCATATAATAGCATAATTAGGGTGAGTGGGAACACCTGGATAGTAGTTGAGAGGTAGATGGAAGAGTCCAAATAGTGTCATTATGGTCAGGAGGGAGAGCCCAATGGTATATTAGGGTCGGTGGGAAGCCCAGATAGTAGTAGAAGGGGTAGGCAGGAGAGCCCAAATGATGTTATACAGTGGGAGAGCCCAAATGGTGTTGGTAGGGTGGCGGAAGGCCCGGTTGCTGATTGAACGGTAGATGGGAGAGCCCAGAGATGCGTATATGGTCGGGGGAGAGCCCAAATGGTGTGGTAGGGTAGGCGGGAAGGCCCGGGTTGCTGATTGAAGTAGGGGAGAGCCCAGAGAGAGATGCGTATATGGTCGGCGGGGAGAGCCCAAATGGTGTGGTAGGGTGGGGGAAGGCCCGGTTGCTGATGAACGGTAGGGGGAGAGCCCAGAGATGCGTATATGGTCGGCGGGAGAGCCCAAATGGTGTTGGTAGGGTAGGCGGGAAGGCCCAGTTGCTGATGAAGGTAGGCGGGAGAGCCCAGAGATGCGTATATGGTCGGCGGGAGAGCCCAAATGTTGGTAGGGTTGGCGGGAAGGCCCGGTTGCTGATTGAATGGTAGGCGGGAGAGCCCAGAGGATG